ACACTTCAGATTGCTCTTCTACTCCCAGACTCTCCCCAGTCAAAGCTACAATGATACAGAGGGTCTGAAACTCACCTGTGTTCAGCGTTTTCCTTTCTGCGTGTCTTTTGACATCTGAAACATCATTTCAGATAACCAGCACCTTTCAGCTCAGTGCTCTTTTGCTCCATAAACCATAAGGAAGTACCCAACTTTCTCCATAGAAAATAGCCACCTTACCTTCTCTGCTTCAGTCTTGTCAAGCTACTTTATGTTCAATGGCTCTTCTACTTTTGGAGACCCTCTCCAAAACTACTAGAAATGTAAATTTACTGAGAAAAAGGTTGTATAATGCATGCAGACTGCTCCAAACTACATGAGATACTGACTCTGACCGGGACATCACTAATACTGGAGTAACTCAAAGCTCAGCATACCTAAGGTGACAAGGCAAGTCAGCAGCAGATCTCCTTGGACTGTTTTGCTCTATCTTGTCTATTTCTAGGGAAGCAGCCAATTTTTAAACAGTTTGAGTGTTCTACCCCTGATTGTTTGAAAATAAAAACTTTACTCCATGATTTCACAAGTGTTTCTAGCTCAAGACAAGCAAAAGCTACAATGAATAGCTCACAGAGAGGCATATAGCACTAAGCCTGTGAAATGTAGCTTCGGTAAAAACCTACTCACCCCCTTCACAAAAGGGAATTCCAAGGATTTACTTCTACAAGATGTAATTAAAGTACCTTCTGGAATTACTATTATTTATTTGCCTGCAGAATGTTGTAGAGGTAACCTAATTCTGTCAATTGCTTGCTAAAATTTCTGTACTGGTTTACACAGGACAGTTTAGAAACTGCTTGATCAGAAGCACAATGAAAGTAATTTGTAAATGTCTGGACTATCAACATTATTTAAATAATTAGCAATTGCGCCTTTAAACCACGAAACTTTGCATGCAGACTAAGCAGAAGATGACCTGTAAGTAGGTAAGAATTTTCTACCAATTTCTTTCCAAAGAAATTGGAACTATTTCCACAGATCAAGAAGCATAGAATGACCATAACGGGATTCAAAGACACTGCAACCCATCCTCTTGCAACTAGGCAGGATGAACACAGCAAAGATAATGGTATAAATACGCACTACCTATAGACATGCACATATCATGCTCAGATGGCAGAGTTCTGAAAATAGCAGAAATCCATGTCAGAAAACTGAAATAAATGCTCTAATTATCAGTGTATTTGTTTGCTATGGCTATTAATCTGACAATTCAACTGCTTTGGTATTTAGGTATCTGACTCTTAAGTGTTTCACACTGATGTTGAGTACATGTACAGTCAGAAATCTTGATGTACGAATGTAGTCATGAAAACTACAAAATAAAGTATGTAAACTCTTCCATTCCCCATCACAGTAGCTCTTAAAGAATGAGTATTAGGGAAGATACTCAAAATTTCTGCCATCTACTATATCAAGATAAAGAGTAGGAGTGTTGCCTGGTACTTTGCCAATACATTTCTGAGTTACATGCTAATAGACAGATGTGCCATAAATCTAATACTAAGGTGTCTCTGGGTCTTGCTGTGTAAGTGCAGGTGTGAGGGGTTTAATGAAAACTGAATTACAGAACATTTTCGGTTGGAAAAGACTCCAAAGATCATCTAGTTCCAATCTCCTCGCCATGGACAGGGACACCTTTCATTAGAGCAGGTTGTTCAGAGCCCCATCCAATCTGGCCTTGAACACTGGCAGGGAAGGGGCATCCACAACTCTGGGCAACCTGCTCCAGTGTCCCACTACCCACACAGTAATGAATTTCTTCCTAATATCTAATCTAAACCTACCCTCTGGTGCTTAAAAGCAATTGCCCCATGCTCTATCACTACATATCCTTGCAAAAAGTCCCTTTCCAATACTCCAGTAGGCCCCCTTTAGGCACTGGAAGGTGCTCTAAGGTCTCCCCTGAGCCTTCTCTGAACAACCCCAACTCTCACAGTCTGTTTTCATAGGAGAGATCTTAGAGACTACCACAGAATATTCTGAGTTGGAAGTGATCCACAAAGATCATCAAGTCCAACTCTTAAGGGAATGGCCCATACAGGGACCAAACCCACAACCTGGTGTTGGTAGCACCATGCTCTAGCCACTTGAGCTAATATCAGGGAATATGGTAGAAGCTTCAACCCTCCTCGAGACTTGCTCTAGCAGGTCCACCTCCTTCCTGTGTTGATCAGCAATGACCATTTCACTGAATATAAATATAGTAGTGTGTCCCTATCTATAATTACTTTAGTTGCCACTTTGTTATTGCTGGTTATATTTCTTTTAGCTCTTCTTTTCTGTATTTCACTTTCTAAATACTCCAACAACAAAGGCAGAAGCTCAGTAGCAACGGTTGTGGTCCCCTTTCACATAAGGGTGCTTCCTAATTGGTTTTCAGCAAATACTGGCACAGAGATTGCTGGCAGAAAAGCCTTTTATTTGCAGAGATAAGAAAATTTCTTTTCTCCTATGTTTTCAGTGAGCTTGCAGGCAAAAGCCTTCCCTTTAGGAATGACAGCAAGAGCTTAAAAATGGCAAGTGTTTAAATGATTTGCTGAGTTAGAGTTTGTAACAGCTGTTAGGAAAGTGTTTTGGAATAAAACTGCGGACAGTATTGTGAAACAATGCTTTTAAGAGAAATAAAGGAAAAAGTTGTCAAGTACACATCACTTACCACACAGTCCTTTGTAATAATATGAGGTTCAAGCAACCAAGAGATTTGTTTCTTGAGGAGTTTGGAATTTGGACACTTGTCATCTTTAAAACCATACTGCTGTCTTCCAACGACAGCAAATAGTTCATTCTTTTTCATTTAGGTGTCACTTTTGTATCACCAGGGAGAAAGATTTTAAGTCACCAGTTTCTGAGCTTTTGAAGCCTTTTCTAAATTCTTTTCAACATGGCTTAGACAGGCAGAAGTGGGTGGATTAGCTCGACAGCCTGCATCCACTGCTCAGTTCCAAGGTTTCAGTGCAATATGCATCTCACACATACCAAGGCACATGTCGTGGGTCTTAAGCCCTTTGAGTCATAGGTGTTAGCTGGTACCAGAGGTGAGAAAGATTAAAAAAAAAAAAAAAAAAAAAAAAAAAAACACAACAAAAAAACCCCACATCCCAAGGGTTTATCTGGACAAATTCACTTTGCTAATTAAACTTGCAAATAGGATTCATGCACTGAGATCACTATTATCTGAAGATGCTGCCACAGAAAAGAAATGTTCATGTTTATTTATGCACACCAGCATAAGACAAAAAACCCTTAAAGCACTGATATTGGACTGAAGATCCAACTAGATTTCCCATCTCTGCTTGAACATTACTGAAATCTTGGCCTAATATATCTCTGTAACCATAAGCTCTAAAATCTGAATTGCCAGTAATTTTGTCTAGCAGCAAGTATTTCATATGTTACTGAAGTAAGTTCCATCTGGGAGTGCTGACAAAGAATAATCAGTGGATTGCATGGAACTACAGCAAGGATCATAGGTCTCTGCATCAAGGAAAGGTACCCAAGATTAAGTTCTTGGTGTAATGTAACTTCCCTTCTTCTTTCTTCTTCTTTGTTTTCTCTGTGCTTGGTGTTTAGTGATAATGTTTAAGCTTCTTTTTTTGCATAAAGTATAATCACTAGATCTTTAAAATGTGGTCAGCAAGGATTTTGAAATTGTTATTATCCTTAAAAATTTTAGGTAGCATTTACTGCTGCAAATGTAAATAGTGAAATTGAAAAACTAATCAGGAAAGTTTCTGCAAAATACCTATCATTAGAGAAAACAAAGCCAAATAAGTTACATCAATGATCCAGCTTTCTTAACTCTTGACTTCTATGCAGTACAAATGACTTGCATTACATTTCATCAATGTATGTTTCTAAACCATCTTCTAGATGCTTGCTTAAGCAATAAGGTTTCTTTAGGAAGAGTCTTCTGGCAGACAACAGCAATTACAATGCAATAGATAACTATTACTGCTACCCACGTTGCTCCATTCTACAGCACATTTTCATTTTCACCCATGTAAAATGTCTCATTTCCACAACACTGAGCATAATAATAAGTGATTACGTTTTTTAAAGGAAGTCATTATTGAAACAATTTGTTATGTATACAAAGAGGAACCCTTTTAAAAACAAAATATTTCAACAGCTAAGTAATACTCTAATCATGTGTAACATGCAAATGTATTAATTAAAAACGCTGCTAAAGGACACTACATATTGTGGTTTAACCCCAGCCAGCAACTAAGTACCACACAGCATCTCGCCCACCGGTCCATCCTCCCAGTGGAAGAAAGAGGAGAATCAGAGAAAAAGGTAAAATCTGTGGGTTGAGATAAGAACAGTTTAATAATTGAAATTAAGTAAAATATAGTAATAATAATAATAATAATTTTAATGAAAAGTGAGATAACAAAGAGAGGGTGGAATAAAACCCAAGAAAAAGTAGTGATGCACAACTCAATTGCTCACCCATCACAACCAATGCCCAGTCCAGCCCCCAGCAGTGATTGGCCCCTCCCAGCCAACTCCTCCCAGTTTATATCCACTGAGCAGATGCTTTATGCTATGGAATATTCCTTTGGTCAGTTCAGGTCAGTTGTCCTGGCCATGCTCCCTCCCAGCCTCTTGTGCACCTGCTCTCTGGCAAACTATGGGAAACTAAGAAGTCCTTGACTTAGGGTAAGCACTGCTCAGCAACAACCAAAACATCACTGTGTTATCAGCACTATTCTCATCCTAAATTCAAATATTCAGCACTGTACCAGCTACTAAGAAGAAAATTAACTCTATCCCAGCCAAAACCAGGACACTTCAGTATGCTGGACACACAGAAATCCCAAAAGTAAAACAGCATCAGCATGAACTGATACTCTGGACCCATTTTACAAATCCCACTCATGCAGTCATTCACATATGGCTCTCAGAAAGCATTCAAAAAATAAGACAAGACTAAGTGATTTAAAAAATCTTACAGGTTTTATAAAAACATTACATTACAAAAAGACTTTTATCAATTAAACCTTACAAAGCACTTAAAATGCATAATAGTCTTTTAAACTAAGATTATCTATTTTTCAATAGGTACAAGTAAAAGTTTATATCAAAACTTTATCAAATAAAAGACAATCCCTAACCTTCATACCTATCTAATCAGAAACAGGTACACAGTCAGAAATATGAATGTGTTTAGAGATTACTGTTCTTGTCTATAAAAATAGAAAAGAAAGATGCTGTAAGTATCTCACCTGAACGCTCAAAGTTCTAAACATAGCAAGACCTTAAAATCAGAGAAACTATCCTTCTATTTTTCTGAGTATTCCAGCTCAGAAGAATGACGATGAAAATTAGCAAGAAAGAAGAAAAAGAAGACTGAGCAGAAAAATACCCCTGAGATAAGTCAGAAAGAATTTTTTTGTCTACATGCTTGGTTCTTTGGCTTTTGTTACTTTTAAGCTACCATATAGGTTTGAAAGGAAATTGGTCTTTTCTTAGGTTTGAACAATTACATTATCACAACACAGGTAATTATTCTGACATAATACAAGCAATAAGAAACAAGTAATAAAAAAATACAAAACATAGAATAAGTTCCTCTTTTTCTTCAGACTCTTTCCATTTCTGATCCCATCTCTCTATTCTTTTTAACATTTTTTCACTCTAAAATCAGATTGTTAAGAGGATAGAATAGCCATCCAGAATAATTTTTCCAATTATAATTTCCCACATCTTCCTTTTTTTCTTGAGATTTTTTTATAGGCAAGTTCTTCAAAAGCCATGCTTTCATCTTCCACTTCATTTTCCAAGTCTTTATCATGCACAGAGCCTATATTAAAAACAATAAATTAATGCAGAATGGAAAACCCAAACATCTTTTCCTCTTAATAGGATGACAAGCTATGTCACTGCTATTTGGTGCATCAGCAATATACCTTCATATGTGCAGAATCATGTTTAAGAAGTATTTAGCTCAATATGACAATATGGTTAAGAGCTCTGCAAGGAAGTAGGGACTATTAAGTCACTTGCTGAACTAGTAATTATTTTCATCATGAAAATCTGTTTCTATTGTTACTGCCTTTGACTTTTTTAAGAAGTGTGTCTCACCTCTCTCAAGGTTCAGTTTCAGTAGACAATGCATTTGCTTACTGACTTCAAAAATAGACTATAATGTTGCTTTTGAGATAATGAGAGAGTTCCCAGGTAGTCTTATTACCTGTATCTTTCTTGGAATAGGAAGATGGAACACCAGGCTTTATCACAACCAAATTTTCTAAATTAGAGCTACTTTAATGCTTTACATATAGTGCTATTTGTAAGTCTGATCACTTCATTGCTGCCTATTTATGCAATTGTTGCAATCCCACCACCTAAATATGTGTTTAAACCTGAACATTTAGGCAGGCACAATGAAGTCTTAAACTTGCCCTCAGAGGTTTGTGATGCAATAGACTGTATCAACATATGTTAATTTTGGTATGAAACCAAGAGAAATGGAAGTAAAAGCAAAAGAAAACCAACTGCATGTAATATTTTTTCCACAGAACTCTTCAAAGCAAGCTAAGGATTAGTTTTGTTAGGAAGGTGGTTTCCAAGAACTCGGATCCACACTGCCCATTAAGGCATCAGAGTTAAGAAATAGCACCATCTTATTGGTGAAGATGAAGATGGCTTTTCTTCTCTCCCCACTGCCCAAGTTTCCACTCCGAAGACTGCACCTGAACCACAGTTAGATGGGCAGCTGTGTGTGTCTGTGTGCAAAAACACACTCATCCTCTGTGCAGGCTGGGATCCACCCAGGGCCAGGGAGGAGGCTTGCTCCATTCTGGCCACTCTGCAACCAGCTGCAAGGCTCATGCTCTGTTTTAAAGAGCTACTGAGGAAACCCTGGTTAACCCATGTTTTCCAGAGTGCCCCTATGGAAGTGCCCAGTTCTTGCTGCCTAGAGGGTAAGTGAATATCCACAACGCTGCTGACTGGGAAACTGCAGTGATGCTAAGATATCATTACTGAATAGTGTCCTCACAGGGCACAGAAAGCTGTGCAATTTGAAAACATACCTTCTTCTTTTATCCTGTGAGAGTCCATTTTCTTCAGCCACTTACGAGCGTCATCAACGGTGACAACCAATTTGTTGGCATGTGTGGTTATTATTTCTTCAGCTGAAATGGAACACAATTAACATTCTGTAAGAACTCTACAGCAGCTAAAAGCCAAGCACAAAACTCAAGAAAACTTCATGGACTTAATCCATATGTAAAAGCTTTCCATTAGGAGTAAAGATAAAGCTTACACATGAAGATCACAACCTAAGATTTTGTTACAAATTTAACATATTTCACTGATCAGAGCTGCTGAACATACCAAATACTACAGTATTTTCGCTGCTGTCAGACATCACAGGCAAAATGACAACTTGACAGGATTGGTGGATTTCTATGCCTGAAGTCAGTAAAAATGTTATGATCTAAGTTGTCACTTTCCCAAAGCAAGTGCACCAAACAAGTTTGCTCCTAGGCCACTCATTCAGTACTCATTCACTCATTTCGCTTGCAAAAATCAGCATAGAATAATGCTTTAAGCATATGAGGGGAAAAAAATCTAATATCAAAATATATATCTCAAGTACCATAATTTAACGAACTTTATAACACCAGCGTTTTTCTCTGAGTATCTGACACCCCACAGATTTGTAGTTAAGTATCCCCTTTGTTCAACCCTTGCAAAATTACAAGTTCCAGAGCAGACTAGTCAGAGATATTCTTAATCAAAGACTCCAAGTACTCCTAACACTCTACCCCTGCATACCCAAATTACTATGGCTGGCAGAAGTAGGAAACAGTAGAAATAACAGAAAAATTCATAAAGATGACCTTGTCTAATACAATAGGCTGCTGTAAAAGTGTGTAAGTTTAGAGAACACAGCACATCTGATCACATAGTTAAAATTCACTTGCTTATCTGTAAAAATTCACTATTATTTACTTTACCTGTACTATCTGATGCATTAAGTTGTGTTTGGAAGAGGTTAGAAAATAATTTTCAATATTTCCAGCTGTCTCAGTTCTTTTCCTCAGCTACCTGAAATACCTAGAAATACCTTTCTCTTGACCATATTAAGATTTTCAAATGGAGCTTTGTCAGGTCTAAAGGTTTGGCCAAAAATGACATATTACATTGTTTAAAGAACACTGTAAAGGTCCTACCTTTAGCCCAGGCTTTTCTTTCATAGATTTCCTCTACTGCATCTGAAATTTTCTTAATATTCTCTTTGATTTTTCTCTGGCATAAGTTGGAACCTTCTTTATATGCTAAATGGTCTCGTGTGTAAGACTTTTCTGTAATGGCCTCCACTACTTCCAGTCCCTCATATATTATTGGATCTATCTCTCTTCTGAAAAACTCGGCGTAGGATCTGTAGGCAGCATTATTATTTTTGTGTTCATCTGTGTTTCTGTGCTCTATGTAGGCCTCACTGGCCACAGAAATTGCATTTCCTTCTGCATGCAACTTCTCTTCCCCACTGCCCTCTGTTGGTGTCAGAGGTTCAGAAGCATCTGACTCCATGTTTTCCGACCTGCTGAAATAGTTCTCAGAGCTCTGGATAAATCTGACTCCACAGAGGTCACACTGGGTTTGGTCAATATCTGCTTTTTTGAATATCTCTGACAAAAATTCATCATCTTTCATTGCAACAGGATGAGCTCTGGAGCAGGCCTTCCTTTTCCACTTCATGTAAAGGGAAACAAAATTGAACACACGATACAGCTGGCGTTGAGCAGATGCTTTCTGCTCTTGCTTCTTCTGCTTGCTGAGTGCAATGACTTCCAGGGGATCCTTTTGATCCTTTTGGTCCTCTAAGCAAAGAACTCTTTCAAGTTCCTCTTCTAGCTCATCAGCATATTCTGTTTTATCCAAAGAGGTCATAAACCTGTCAAGGTTTATGTGTTCATACAGGATGCCCCGTATGGTTGGATGCCCCTGACTGTATGCAGCGTCCCACTTCCAGCGGCAGTCAACCAAGTACTCTTCATCTCGCTCTATCAGCAGCTCTTGCAGGCCTGTAGCTATTTCTCTTACATGTGTAGCATCACTCACTTGTTCAATAACCCTCAGCAATCTTTCAGGAACTTTAGAGAGAGTGTCTTTTCTCATTGATTTCAGCATCGCCCTGATTTCAGGGAAGTGGTGGCATAGGAGGGATCTATGTTTAGAACTCTGCACCTGGTCAGCATTCAGCAACATCACTAAGCACAGCACTACAGTCCGCTCAGCCTCCCCTGAAGTTATGCAGTCAGGATCCCTGAACGCATCCAGAAGGACATCAAACCTTCCATGAACACCACACAAAACTTCTGCTAGATAACAGAGATGAAATCTGAAATTCTGTACAGCTACATATGTTTCCTTTGGTCTGTACTCCTGTATAATAGAAAATGTGTCTTTCAGTTCTTTGTTATGGTCCTTGCTTCTGAACAAAAACTCCCAGTAATGAAGGAGAGCAATGTAACTCTTTGGAAGGCAGAGAGTAATGTTCTTGGACAGACGCATCAAGACAGCACAACAGAGAATATACTGCAATTCCAACAACATCACCGTATTTCCTATGCTTGGAATCAGGTATCTTGTGCACTTCCTGATCAGGACATTCATAAAACGGAAAAAAAATCTTTTACAGTTTTCCGGGTTCTTATGAACATAGAATTGCTCAAGTGAATTTTGAAGAAGTCGAATGAAGCACAAGTGTGTTCTTCCTGCATTTTCAGCATTTTTGTCAGGTAGCAACATACCATGTCTGCCCTCTATTCCTTTGGTCTTTCCTCCTTGGTCTCTAGTCTTTGGGGAACTTCTTGCCTTTGCCAAAGCAAAGTTTAGCTCTTTGTTATAATCATCCTCTTCCTTAAAAAGAAGTTTCTCAAATTCTTCAGGATATCCTGAAGATAAGATAAAAACTTTCATGGCACTTAGCCATAAGTCAGTTGATTCTCTTCTGGCTGCAGTGCCTTCATTATTAAACTTAAATGTGATGTACTCCTTCAACATTGCTCTGCAGGGTTTGGAAATAATGCTACTGAATTGTAATATTTCTTTACATGCCTTTGGGTTCTCAGACAGTATTCTCAAATGAAAATGATCAGGAAAAAACATTTCTAGAAGGGCTTTACACGATGCATATTTGTCAGAAGTCAAAATGTCATCAAAGCTTTTGCACTGATTCAGGAGCTCTTTAGGGAAAGTGCATGTGGCTTCTAAGAACAGCCCCCTTATTGCCACCAGATGCATTTTACACTGAAATATTGTCTTTGCTTCGTGGCGCAACAAGGGCCTATGGTAATCACAGGTTCTGTCTCCACAGTTCAAGCCAGCAATGAACTTCTTACAAATATCAGGGTAATTCTTGTTCAGTAACTCACGGGTGATAGAGCAAAACCTGCTTAACAAGTGCTGCTTCAAAGCTGATTTTACCTCCTCTGTACTTACTGAGAAATCACCTTTTATCTTCCTCTCTTTTAGATTTGGCTTGTCTGACAAAAACTTGAGAATGGGTTCAGCTTCATTTTGAGACACCTGGCAACTGTCACCTGTTGGGACAATCCCAAAATAGGCAAAGCATAACTTCACCATATCTTTCTCTGCATTGGTGGCTGCTCTCTTCAAACCCCTAACCAGACTCAGAAGAGCCACTAAGCCACGCGTTGCCATGAAGAGGATGTCCTGGCTAGGAGTGCTGAAATGAGATAATGCAAAGAGAGCTTCAACAGCACCAGCAGAATGATTCAGAGATAGGAACTGACGGAACGCGTCGCTCAGCTTTGTGAAGTCTCCCTTCAGAGCTCCCTGCAAAAACATAGCCTCAGCAATGCCAGACTTCTGCCCAGTTTGATAACAAAGTTCGAGGGCTTCTTTTAGGATTATCTCCATGTCTACCAGGTCTGATTCTGAACAATGAGTCAGACTGGCACGTGCTGCAGCAAGCAAACACGATGCACGAAATTCTTTTACAACTGTGAGGTTGGCTGCTTCCAGAGCAAATCCATGTTGTTTCATTAGCTTTGCAGCTTCCTCCTCTCGACCTTTCCTTTTCAATAAGTCTGCTGTTTGGTGCAAGCATCCACGAGACTTCAGAAACTCAAGCTGATCCTCTATGTCAAGTTTTGAGAGGACTTGCATCATTTCCTCAGTCCTGTTCATACTCAGGTACTTTGCAGCTGCTTCCAAATACAACTGATTTGCTGTACATGAGAGTTTGGAAACCATTTGTCCTTTCGTATTCAACATCTCTTCATATCTGAAATAATAGATACATCAATTTACTACCACAGATGACTAATCTAGACAAAAAAAAACCACCACTGCATTTTTAAAAAAACCTTAAAACATTACGCAAATAGCTGCCCCTAGAAGCCTTTCCTTCAAAAAGGCCAATTATTTCATGTGATATGTCTGTCAGGAGATAAACAACCACAACATCTTAAAAAAAATCTACAAAAAGAAATGAATTACAACATAAGGCTGTCTGAAGCAAGATCATCAAAACTTATGGTACAAACAAGATGCAACAGTGAAGCATTATCCACACTGTTGAAACAATGTACAAATTACTTTAATCACATTTTATCAGTGTTAATCCTCTATTCTTAAAAGTAAGCCTCAATACAGAAGATAGAATGAAATAGATACGAATTCAATGAACCCTCCACAGGCCAATACAGATAATATCCTATAAAATTTACATAAACTGGTCAACTTAGAGAACTCTCTCAAGTCTGTCACATGTATCTGCATATACTTTGTGTGGGAACCAGTTAAGCCGGCAGCACCCGCATTCAGTTAATTAGGATCAAAAATGAGTGTTTTGGCCTTCACTGGTGCTTTTGATAAAGAGAGTGCTGTGTTCTCAAAGCAAAAACAATTTTGAATGGTCTGCATGATAGCATGTGTTTTTCTCTCGTGGCTGAACGCAGCCACCACATGATGCAAGGAGAATGGGATCAAGGCACTGGTTTAGGATGATCCTGGGAATTCAGGATAACTAAAAGACAAATACTAGGTGCTGTTTACGAAGGAACTCTAATAAAAGGGGAATGCCAGACAAATCCCAAAATCGAATTCTGTGTGGTGGCTGCCTCATTTCTTTTAGCACCCATAATCGCCCTGTCTTTGTTGCTTAGTGAATGCCTCAGAAAAGTATCCAGTTGCAACTTTCATAACATGCACTTTAAAATATTCAGTTATTAAGTATTATTGGCTGATGTAAAATTATTAAGGTACCCCCGAGCCAGTTTTGCAAAAGTGTGCTCTCCTGTATGCTGAGAATGAGTCAATTTTTTCTGTTGTGTAAATTATCATTAGCCTTTCGTTATCATCTTTCTCATGATAAATGCAGGAGTGTAGATTTTTTGTATCTATATTTATAAATTTGCATTAATGATTTGGGAAGGCTAAGTTAAAAATTCCTCAGTTGGGAAGGTGACTTAATGCTTGAACAATCTCTTTATATTTAACAAGCTTTAATAATTCAAGAAAACAGTTACCATTACTAAAGGTACATCACAAAGGATTTCAGTGAAGGTGTGTAATTGCAGGCCTTGCTAGAATTTTAATTGGTTTACATATTCTCTAAAAATCAATCAATTTAAGTGTACTGAAAAGTGTGGCCAATAAATGAATCATTTATGCAAGAATGTGCTAATGAGGTCACTATTTCAGTCTTAAGAGAGAAGTATTTAATACTTCTATAGAATTATTTTGTCATATTTACCTTAAGAACATAGTTCAGAGGATTGGCTGAAGGAGAACTTGCATGACTAATACTATAGACTGGAAAAAATTTCCAGGAAAATTAAACTAGTCACTGCACCAGCTGTGAAAGCAGTAGAATCCTTTCACCATGTTATCATTACCCAAGTAAGAATTCTGACAATGTTAATTTAACTTCATATAAAATGAAGTCACCAGCCAATAACCCTTGTGAAAATTTTTCGGCATGCCAGTCATATTGTGTTGAATTTGGAAATGGAAAAGAGAATTATATTCCAGTACCATCTTGGAAGACATACCTTTCAACTGCCTTTGCTGCTTCTTCATAGAGTTCTTCCTGACAATACATTTTAATGGCCAGATCAAATTCCTCAATTTGTTCATAACATCCAGATGCTTCTTTGTAGCACTGGCTTTTCTGATAGTAAACTGCAGCATCCTTCATCTGCAATGCAGAAGTCAGTAATGAAACTGAAGTGTTCTAAACAGCCAAAGCTACATGAATAGAACAAATCTAGTAATTCTATTGTGTAAGTGTCTCATAAAGAAGTACACTTAAATAAAATGTAATTAAAGTATCTTAATGTAATCATATAAATATTAAAGTAACCATCATTAAAATGGAACAGATTTTAAAAAAAAAAACCTTTATGTCTTAAAAACTAGAATGTAAAAATAAAGGTATTATCCAGGATTTTCAAACTACTTTTTACCCACCAAGCTCTGCCCACTGTTAGAAAACACCATACACTTCTGTTGACTTACAAATTTCTCAGAATCAACAGGATTAAATTTAAACAGTTATGGATTCAGAATGAGAACCCTAATTTTTTATCTTAAATTTCAAATATTTGGGAACAATTACTTTACATTCTTTTAGTGGAAATACACTGCAAATAAAAAACAGTACATACTGTTAGCACACTACTTCAACCCTTGCAAGTTACAAGGTTCCATATAGATGGCTGTAATCAGTGAAGTTTCAGTATCATCAGAGTACTGAATGAAGTAACAGCTTAAGTTTCATGAGATCAGTCATTAACTTTTGACTGCAAATGACTGATGATGACATTTGAGGAAAGCCAAAGAAATAAACCTGGCCTGCATAACTGCATTATTCTCTTCTTCATTCCTCTTCTGCCTATTCTCTGACAAATGCTTCCTTTTGAACAGCACAGCTTAAAGAGCTCATTTAGTTCAGCTACTACCATGCCACAGAAAAATACTATTACTTTATGTGTAATATGAGAGGAAAAAAAAGCTGCAGGAAAAGGAAAGTTATAAAGTGAGGATAGCTTAAAGGATTTAATACCTTTCCTAACTTTTTACACAGTTCTGCACAAAGCCGGAACTCCTTTGACTGGTACAGACATTTTAGTGATAGTTTCGGTTCTCCGCATTCCAAGTAAGTTTTAGCCAATGTCATATACTCCATCTTTTTTTCCCTGTAGAAAGCAAGACAAAATTACCGCTTACATCCAAATTAAGTTTAGGGTCATGTGATCTGTCACTGAATCCAACCAACATTGGCATCATGTGTTCTTCTTCTTATACAACCTGATGAGCTATTACCTTACAATTAGTTATATTTTGGGCTGACACAGCTCTGTCCAGAAGTCTGTTCTAGAATCTGGCTTCTGTGGCAGTAAATTTTTTTTGTTTTGTTTTTTTTTTTTAACTAGAGTATAGTACTGTGGTTTTGCAACACTTTTCTAGCTTAACTTGTTCCTTCCTTTCTTGTTTTAACCCCAAGGTAATCAAAGACAACAATCAAACGTGTTATCAGCTGTTGTTTTGTATAACTCAACAATCTCAGCATTTCCGGTATCACTGCATGCAAGTGATCTAGATTGAATTCCTGATTCTCAACCCTGAAGAATCAGAATTGTACAGAGCATTTCATATTATAGAGCACACAGGAATCTTACTTAAGCTTTTTACACCAGCATTAATACCTCTATTAAACAAAAAGTCATTTTAACAGCTTCATTATTACATATATTCTGTCAACTTAACACATCCCAATATACTGAGTTCCTTCTCCCCAAATTTGCTTCAGTTGACAGGCACCTAAGCATACAGTGAACTGAAAAAAAGTTTTATCAGTCCCATCACCAATTTCTCTATGATCACTAAATTTCATGAGCATCCTTATACTTTTAATCAGGGCCACTAATATAAAGCAGGTAATTACAAAAGATAAAACCTTGTTTAACTCCAGTAATAGCAATTCTCTAGACCTTCCCTCTTCTTCATTCTGTGCTAGCTTCCTCTAATCTAGTCATTCCTTACCCACTCTGCTATCACTGCTAGTTTCTGGCCTCCCCAGCATAAAAAGGAATTTATTAACTTAGATCTAGAGCTCTCCTCATTAAGTTTTTTCTTGTCTTATGAGATGAGTCCCAAACAGTTTCCCAGCCTCTTCAGGAAACTGCAAACTCTTTCCCCGTCAAACCCTTGAGCTATTTTACTCAGCTGACAGCATGAACTCAATGATTAATTTCAAAATCTGTTCTTTAAAACTGTCCTTCAGATTTAGTTCTGCTTGTTTTGTTTAAATTGACTCTAATTTTACCCCAAAGCTCACTTTTTGCTAGCAGTTTTTCTTCCCTAATGTACAACAATGTTCCTTTCTCTTTGTTAAACGAATATGCAGTGGGATTAACTGAAATGGAGCACTGCTGATGGAGTATGTTCTTCTATCTATATCAAAGAATATAAAGCCTCTTGAGGTAATGCAAATCCTGTTGCTTTTCTTTCACATGACCAGTAAGTCCTTTCAAGGGCCACATTTCATTTGGACAGCCTATGGTGTACAACTTCTCCACTACTCCCCAAAGGGAGCAGTGCCCCAGATCCTGTTGTGCTAGACTTTCTCATTTCTTAAATCCCTTTTGCCACCCACAAACATGTGAAGACACCTCATCTGCATTGTTCTCTGATGTTTCCAGTCCAGTCCTACAACTGGGGTGTGAATCTCCCCATCACAAAATGACACTTGCTCATCTGCACTGACACTTACCTAGGGCTGCTTTTCTTTGCATGTACTTTGAGAACAGCATCATGTGCCAGGGCCAGTTTTGACTTCTCAGATGCTCCACCCTTTTGGTAACATTTGGCTGCCACCTGGGGTGAAATCATACACAGCATTCACAGATCTGCATCCAGTCCATGGCTTATCACATAAAAGCAATACTTAATTTTAGTCACTGTAATGGAAAGCAGAAAGAATGGCAGGGTGCCTGGAAGAAGGAAAAGGTAAAACATTGCAGTATATTTTTAGGACAAAAAGAAAAGCTTTAAAGTCAGTCCACATGTGACTATCAAAATTAGAGTATTAATTACAATGTTTTACATGGAAGTAGTGAAAGCAGAATTCCTGGTAGGCTGATAGAATAAATAGCATATGCAATTTGAATGATAGGCTAAACCATTAACTGGTAAGTCACCAGACATCTACTACATATTAATAAAGGAGGAAAACCAATGTGTGCAAAGTGAAATCAAAAAGCATGGAACATTTTTCATGCTTTGATCATATCAGGCCCTTTCTGTGATAAACTAAACAGAGGTACCAGGAATTACCATGCTCCTAGCAAGGTTTGTTTCATTATCACCCTGCTTATTCTGCAACACCATGATTTCTTTATTCCATCCACTAATTTTGTATTTGCGTCTGTTTGGAATTTGCCCATTGCAAGCCACTCTTAGAAATGCCAAATTCATCAGATAATTTCTTCTTAAGGTAGCAACAATAAGCAAAGATGAAGGTTATAAAGAAAGCAGAACAGCAGATAATATAATTAATACATTTCAGATTCCAAGATAAATTTTTTTTAGCTATGTTGCTTTTTTTATCTAAATTCTTTTCTGTCCATTTAGGGAATTGCCTTTTACTTTCAAGGGGAGATAATGACTGTCTGTACAGTGGCAGCTGATTGCTTTGATTTTTTGCCTTGTTATAATTATCTATTTTTCTTTCAAAAAATTCTGTGTTGCTACCAGCAAAACACAGAAACTTTCTTTTTGCCATGATCAAAGAAAGCATCCAAAATTCCCTCTCTGGACTGGCTGGCAATGCTTTGCCTGATGCCCCCCAGGACACAGTTGGCCCTCCTGGCTGCCAGGGCACTGCTAACTCATATTCTGCTTTCCATTGACCAGGACCCCCAGGTACTTTTCTGTAGCGCTTCTCTCCAGCCTGTAATTCCCCACCCTATACACACAACTAGGGCAGAACCGGGCACTTGCCCTTCTTAAACTTGATACAGTTGGTGAGTGCCCAGTGCTCTAAGTTATTGAGGTCTCTCTGCAGGGCCTCTCTATCAAGGGAGTCAACAGCTCCTCTCAATTTAGTATCCTCCCAGTTTAGTATCTCTGGCAAACTTACTTAATGTACATTTAATTCCTGTGTCCAAATCATTTATAAAAACATTAAAGAGCACTGGCCCTTAAATTGAGCCTTGGGGAATCCAACTAGTGACTGATCACCAGCTTGATATAACCCCATTTACTGTAATTCTTTGAGCCTGACTTGTCAGTCAATTTCCCACCTAATGTATTATGGACTTGTCTAGCTGTGAGCTGGACATTTCATCAAGAAGGACACTGTGAGAGACGGTACTAAATCTTTGCTGAAACCAAAATATATCACAACTACTAGCTTCTCTTGGTCAATTAGATGGGTGACCTTATCATAAAAGGTGCTGGACAGCTTGAACTCTAATCAAGCTTTGGCCATACAAATTTTCTCCCTACAGTGACAGCATCTCTGTTATCCTCCCATGTCACCTCCCTTTGCTTCCAATGTCCATACACTTTCCCTTTCTGTGTAAGTTTTAGAAGAAGATTCCTGTTCAGCCAAGCCAGACTCTGCCCCACTTGCTTGACTTCTGATGCTTTGGAATCACTTGCTCCTGCACTCTTAAGAGATGGCTCTTAAGAAGCACCTAGCATTCACAGACCCCAAGATTTTCAAAAGCAAATTCCCAGGAAATTTTACTAATTAGATCCTTCAGCAGCCCAAAGTCTGCTACTCCCATATCCATGGTCAAATATTTGTTGGCCGGCTTTCTTCTATAGCCAAAAATTTGAAACTCAGTTACTTTGTGGCCACTGTGACCACGAGAGACACAAATCACCACATTACTCATAAGTCCCTCTCTGCTTACAAACAGTAAATGTAGGAGGGCACCCTTCCTAGTTGGCTCCCTTAGTACCTTGCACCCAAGGGTTATCTTCTTCAACATGCTCCAGAAATTTCCTGGACCTGTTAGTGTCCACTGTATGATATTCCCAGTTGATATCTGGGAAGTTAAAATCACCCATAAGGACAAGGGTAGTTGATCTATAGATATCCCTTATCTCCTTGTAGAATAATTAATTGGTGGTGTCGTCCTAGCTGTGCTTTGCTTCCATCCAATTAACTGTCATCCCATATCTGGATTTGTATTAACTACCAATTTAGGAAAAAAAACCTGTCAAATCTCCATGTTCTTTAAGAAGGAAGGGAATGAACCTGTCATTTTACTGCCCAAATTAATATACTTCCAAGAAATCCTTTCCTTCTCCTACACTATGTGGAATGATAACATCAAGAATATGGTTTAGATCCACAGATTTTAATCAATTCCAGTCGTTGCTAATAATTGTTTTTTTCCAACTGTCTTTCATTTGTGTATATTAAAATGTTTTCCCCTCATTGGACTGCAAACTTTCGAGTAGTAAATTTAAGATTACAAACAATAGGCTTGTCCTCCCTGCTTACTTCTTGTAAGTCATTGACAAGTAGTCTGTAGAGACCTACACAAATCTCAAACTAAGACAAACTGCTACACAGCAACTGAAGGTTTACAGATGATTTTATAGATACAAATAAAAAAAAAGGTTTCAGAATAAACAAGAATCCTTATTTCAGATAAACATGTGTTCCTACCTCCCAGAACTGGTGTTTAGCATAGTAGTCTCCCTGTGCAATCCATTCTTCTGGAGTTGAAGTTTTAGTAAACATGCTGTCATCTAAGTCTAGAAAGGCAAAGAGTAATTATTTTATGTTAAAATGGATAAACCACCGAAGCCATGTATCATGTACCAAAACTAAGCATTAACATCTTATAATGTTCCCAGCTCCATGATTTGTGCTCACACCAGTAACAGTAATTATGAGTTAAATGTGTTTTATGTCTCTCAATCAGCACTGAAAATCAACAAGTTGGGTTTGGTTTTGAAAGACCATTAAAAATTATGCTTGTTTTTTTGACAAATTTTGAGTAAACCCACTCTCTTTATAGAAAACAAATTATTTTAATTGATAAATCTCTTTTAGCTGGGATGGTTTTTCTGTAACAGCTTTTGTTACCGTGCAGGTGTGAGGCTATCAGTGAGAACACAACATCAAAACAAAAAACATAGTTTGCCTGGAGACTGGGCTGGCAAGGGGCTGAAACTGCATTAACAGAGCAGAAAATGTGACTACAAATTAAACACTGAAACAGCTCAAAGCTATACATATCTGCAGCCATTCCAGTCCATTGAGTTCTCCCTCCATAGCAGCTGGTTGAGTGGCAGCAATCTGCCTTTGAATAGGAAAGCCTCTCACGGCTACCCATTCAGGCTGAGAGATCCCTTACCCAACACCAGACACCAATGGGTTGGTAAATGACATTTTTGCATGTGTGTAACATTAAAGATATGTATAGCAAGCTTATGTGATAATTGTTGTATCCCATGCTAACTTTAAACGTAGTAAAAAACAGAGTACTGACCACCAATTCATCTGTACTTAATGAATATTTTATATCTGAATTTACTAGTGAGAACTCAATAAACTAACTACAAGATCAGATCTGTCTGAGTGATCTGACTTTTCTCCTGTGACACCAATGAAACTTATACTAATGAATTAGCAATGAGTTATGCTTTAACATATGCAACCGATTTTAGAGACAAAAGAATTAAGACCCACTGAAATAAGTGGAAATTTGCAAGGGCAGTTATCAGTGCATACTGTCAGAAGGACCAAGGGATTTAACCTTCTTTACTATACGGCCTAAAAGCAAGAAAGCATAAGTAGGCTGTCCTGTTTGACAGTCTTTTAAGAAACTTTTAGGATAACTTTACCTTCATTTTCATCTGTTTTGACAACCTCAACAAAGTTTCTTTTGATGAAATACTTAAAAGCTGGAGCCCGTTTATCACAGTCTTCATCGAAGATCCACAGATTTACCCTGGCTCTTGTAATGGCAGTATACAATTGCTTGAGTTCTCCATTCAGCATCTGAACCAGAACAAAAAATAAAATAAAATAAATGAAATGCCAGATGAGCTAAATTGTTAGAATGAAACAGACTTTGCAGTTATCAAAAAACAGATAATTTATACAGAATGCGTAATAAATAAGAAAGTGTCTTTGAATAAGCAAGTCTAAATACTAAATATTGGATTTTACAATTACATAAGCCATTGTGCAGCTAACTTGCAAGCAACTACTGCCATAAATCTAGCAGCTGCACCATACAATCCTGAAAATATCTGACCCACTAGATTCTAAGAAGTTTCCTTAATTTCCAAGTAGTGACACCAATCGGAAAACAGACTACAGAAATAATAAATATTGACAAGCTGATTTGCTATTTGCTTTAACCACAGTTGCTCTTTAAATATACCTAAAAGTCTATGGCACAGGTTTTCTGCTGTTATCAAACTAGCTTTTAAAATCAGTATTATATTATACAAATATGAACAACTACCAAAAAGGCACGGCAACCTCGATAAACATGAAAGTATTTAAGAAATTTGTCTGTTTCTAAGATGTAAGAATTTAACTTGTCCTTCCTATTCCCAATGTTACAAAAAACTCACCTTGTACATTTCTACATTAAAAAGAGATTTTTTCTGCACACCGGCAGCATCCTCTAATGGTATTTCGTTTAGCAAGTTGCTTCCCATTTGCACATCCGAATCAGGACTATAAGAAGATATTATCTTCCACTCTTTGCTAGCCTAAAATATCAAGAGAATGAGGTTTACTTGTATACAGTGCCCACTACTGCCTACATTGCAAAAGATAAGGTTGTATGTTGTGACCAATCCATCTCTACAACTGAAGGCAGCTCAGAGGAGATGAGTGGGGAAAAAATTTTCTCATGGAAGAATGTAAAGAATAATCAACTTTCATCAAGAAAGCCAAACTTCATCTCAACACAATCTTTGTTTGAGATACTTGTCTGTACCAGGTGATCATCAAGGCATATACACAACTTCCCCTAAAATAGCTAGTAGAGAGTAACATCTTCCTGAGTTGCCAAGATAAAAGTGAAGACATGCCTCAGCCCAACAGAGTGTGTGAAAACTGAGCAACAAACAAAACAAACCTGGAAGAGTGCAACTGGCTTGAGCTGGCTTCAAGCTATGTATTACTTCCCAGGGACTGGGGATGGCCAGCATCATGATGGCAAAGCTAATGGGAATACATATATATATATGTATGTATGTATGTATGTATATAGGGACTGCTAAGTGGAATCACGTTTTTATTGTGATTCTGATGTACATTGCCATTGTTACACTATGCCTGCCTTGTGATTTCAGGATACTGCTGTATCACTTATAAATCCAAATCATATGCAATATTCAATATATCAAATAAGTAAAATTTGAAATTAAACATTAAAACCTCCTTGGGTGGACTATACATTTTCAGCTGAACACCCCTACAATGGATGGCCCATCTGTAGAAAAGATCAGGTACCCTCCCCTTGGATGAGGCTCAAGTTTTAGTCCTAGGGATGAGGATTTTCCTACAAAACCCAATACCACAACAGGCAAAGTCACTGAGGGGGGCTGTGCTGATTTCTGGGCCAGGTAGATCCCTGCCAGCTCAGAGCAGGGTGAGAGGTAAATGGTGGTGGAATAACATGTACAAGTTGCCAACTGTCATGCTAAAATGTGCTAAGACGTGTTGGAGACATCTTGGCCTGCAGGTTAGGATGGGCAGCAACTAGGTCTCCTTGACTCTACAAGACTGACAAGCTCAGTGAGTTGCAGACCAGCTGGCCCACAACTCACTGCTCCTCATCACTTAGCACCAAGGAGACCTTGCTCCACCTGGAGCAAGAAGGATCCAGACAAATAGAGGCAAGTTGGTGCTGTCCTTTTTCTGGTGCACCAATAAGTCAGTTCTCTGAAAAGGGACCAGATCATTCATCTTGGCAGGAAAAGGCAGTAGATTAACAAGAGGGAAATTCAGGACATCAGCTTTGGCATGCGAGTCATCAACAGTGCTTGGGTAAACCATGATGATGCATTTTGAAGTTAAGGTTGCAATAAATCATCTATCAAAACATTTCTAAGCCTGTCATGGATTGCAACATGACAACCAGTTAATGGTATCGGTTTGGTCAACAGCTTGCTAGGTTTTGGGGATTTGGCTTTTTTACCTTCTAGATTCTTCATTCAAATCTGCTTCCTGAAACAAGACTGTTCTTAAATCTCATTTTTAAGTCAAATAAAAAGAAAACTCAATACATTACAAAACGCACACAGCCACATTGTTGTGTTTACAACAGTTCACAGATTCAACTTTCTTAAATTAGAAAACCTCAGGGTGAGCTGCTTTCCTGCCTGCTTGTTTAGTTGCTCAAATCAACTCAATTACTCATGACTCACCAGAACATGGAAGAATTGTATGAAAACCGTTCTCTAGGCCTGACACACATTATTAGTCTAAGCTAAAATGCCCTATACAACTCAACTCTGTTGAACTGATTCTGCTAAATTCTGATAAATGGCTTGTTGTTTTTCTAAGTATGACTTGCATCACCAAAACCAAATCAACTTTGAGAAATCTACCACGACGGCCAGTATTGTACTGCCCCCAAACTTCAGTAAGCCAGAGTAAAGGTCATTTACCGCAAGCTCCTCCCTATGAGAAGCATCATATAACATTCACTAAACTCTATGAAGAGCCACCCAGTAAACTGCCCTCAGTTTTCTTGCGGTTTTCATCTGTTGAAAACCACATCTGAGACACTGTTTTAAGGGCTAGAGGCAGAGGGCATCTGCAACACAGTTGTTCACATTGAATGTTTAATCGTAGAGCAACTCAGTCATAGGCACTCTCAAGTGTCTGCAGGCATGTTCAGTAATGCTGCTTACTTGGCTGCCTAGGGGCAGGGCAGGAGGGTTCTGCGATGCTCCAGCAACAACAGCGAGGCTGCTGTAGTTGACAGTCCATTGCAAGGAGCCTCACGGACTGCTCCCCTGACAGGTCTGGAGTTACAAGAAACCCTAGAGAGACAGGCTTTGAGCTCCCCAGAGAACAAATGGGGCAAAAGAACACAAAGCACAACATCTCCATGAAAGGAATTCTGAGGCCATTCTATGGGCAATGACATCCACTCTAGGCTCTGAGACCTTTTCAAGTTTCCTGACAACTCCTGAGCTAGACCACAACGAGTTTTTTGGACCTAAGCTGTGGAAGGATACAGAGCATGCTCCTCCCCACCCCTCCAAATACATACACACACTATTTGATTCTAAACAATTGGTTTAGAATTTTATGGTGGCAGAAAGCAGGGGTGTATAAAGTGCTTTTTTGGGACTTGGAACTCCAGTAAAGAATATGGGAAAGTGATGGAGTGTCCTTCACCAACTGCTCTGACCTGAACTGGGAGCAGCCAGGAGAGACAGGATGTACGCTAGAGGAGTAGTCTTGGTATGCAGCAGAAGTGTGTGTGTGTGTGTACATGTGCAATGTTGTGTGTATCCCAAGGCTCTCCCTTATATTTTAACAGTCAACCTGAAGGAAAATGCAGGACTAAGGGAAGGAGATCTCAATTCATAAACCTCTGTTTTCCACTGTGATGAAACCACACATCTTCAGAGAAAACAGGGAATCCTTCCCCAGTTGAAATGCTAATTAGACCACATGGAAAACTGACTTTAGAAAAAAATGCAGAAAAAGGAGTAAGAATTAAATACCTCTGAATCTGTGAAAAAATTGTAAAGGAGTACATCATCAAATTCCAAGCCCTTGGCTTCATAAATTGTCAGTACAAGTGCCAAACTAAGTTCCTCAGGTATCTTCTCCTTTGCAGTTTCATTTGCCACTAATACCACCTGCCACAAAATACAGGAAAAAAAAAACATATTAGGAAGCAAAAAAAAAAAGGTAACAGTTTTACAACAAAATCAGGCAAACATGTCACAATAATGCAAGAGCCTTCTCAAAACCAGACAACATTTAACACAGACATTTCAGCACACGCCACAAAAGAGGTCACAAAACTGCCATTAGAGATTGACAAATGTGTGGCATGTGCAGACAGTTTCAGATCTGGTGTAAGAAAATTTGGAGTTATAAAGGAACAGGATAGACAATACCTGATGACAAAAAAAAAAGAACAGAAAGAGTCAGACATATAAGAAGAAACAGAAACCAACACAATAAAGGTTTCTAAGTTTAAAAAGCATAATTTATCAGTGAGACAAAGGCTTAAAAAAGAAAGTTGTGGGCAGTCCATACAGAATTATTATTTAGAAACAGAGGTGGAAGAATCTGCAAAAAGCCTAAGAAAAGCACACCTGATGTGCTCCAAATTCAATCGGTTGTGTTTTCCTTTTGTTGCCCCTCAGCAGAATTGCTAGGTCACTAACGCTGCAGGACTCCAAGACCGTAGGTTTTGGTCCATCAAAGAGACCACGATCCTGAGGAAGCCGATCAAAAGATTCTGGAAAATAATGCTGGAGCAAATCAACCACTCCGGATGCTAAACGGAGAATACCTTCAAAAAGCAGAATTCAGATTTTAAGGTTCAGCCTGTTTCAAACTCTCTCATAAACACAAATTTAAATCAATTTTTAAAAGAACTTTGAAATCAAGACATATCATGACAAAAACATTAGTCAGAAAAGACAGAAGCTGTAAGGTCCACTTTATGTTTCTGCCATTTTGAGTGGATCTCATTTTTGGGCCTGTAAAGATCAGAAAGCATGCTACAAAGGCTTGGTAGAATTCCCAAAAAATGAAGGCCATAACTGAGAAACACATAAGAAAAGCAGAGCAGCACACCAATGCTGCAAAGTCTAGTGCTTTGGGGATGGGACAATAGATGTATGAACATTTGTTAAATTTTCCTTCAAACAAGTAGAGCCAAAACATGCAGTAAGCATGGGTGTCCAAAAAAAAGACACTTTTAAAAACATTCATTCTTGGTTCCCCAGTGGAGACGTCACAATACAGAGTTGACATATCAGAAAAAGCTGCCCATCTGATCTGCTAAAAAAACAGGCCACACAGAGATGCTTTGAATTGGTCGGTAGAAAACTTCAATCATTAGTGACATATGAAGAGCACAGGCTCAGCTCATAAATAAATTTGTTACTCTACCTGAATGGGACCTGTAGTTCTGGTACAACTGATATATCCTTTTCGGTTTTCTAACACGCTGCTTCTTGTTCGCGGAGCTCTTGCTTGCGTAATGAAACAGTGACCTCAGGTCACTAAAACGAAAAGCAACTCCTTTCATTATGCTCTGGGCAGTGTCACCAGTTAGAAACATGGCATTAGGGTCATTGATGCATTTCATTAACAGTGCTAGCTCAGCTTGCGTGAAATCCTGTATCTCATCACCATAAAACTCATGGATGGACCATGGCAGTTCCCTGAGCTTTGAAAGTCGTTGAGATAAATTATATAGCAAATCTTCTTCATCAAAGTAACCTCCCTGTGATACTATCTGCTGATAAAGACAAAAGAGATGATAGATTTCACTCCTGTCTTCCGTGAAGTTCGGTGATCTCTTTCGGCCTAGCTTTTTGTACTTCTCCTCAGTAAGCTTGCCTCCAAAGCAACTCAGTGCCTCAAAAGAGCCTTTCAGAAAAGATTTTATTTCTTTCCAAACCAATGCTGGATTGTACAAGCTTTTACCTTTTATCATTTTTGGCCATATTTCCTTTGCAAATACATCATAAGTCACAAAAGTCCAATGATCGCTTTCCCTAGAGTATGCATCTGCAGCTCCTCTATCATCACCATGTTCTGCTTCAAGGTTACCTTCTTCATCCTCGTCCTGCCAATTTGGTATGACCGAGTCTTCCTGAGGACTCCAACCAACAATGATTCTTTTAAGACTTCCATCTTCATTTCTTGGAAAAAATGGGTCGGGCATGGATGCATCCAGTAACAACAACAACTGCTTGGAGGTGACAAACAGTGGAAAATTTTCATCTTTAATGTCTTGTAGTTTGTGAATATTTGGCTCCAGAGGCTTGAAGTGACTGGTTACCTTGGAAGACTTGCTAAGTTCAATGAAATTCTTCTGAACTTCTTGGCATAAGACAGGATTTTTTGTTACAAAGATCTGGTGCAGGTGCTCCAGCCTGTTTGATGCTTCTGTGCTACACGTTTGGTCTTCTTCATGGTCATCACATGAATTCATTTCTGTACCAGCTGTGCCTGAGGGAACCTTTTCATTTTCACTGTCCTGGTCTTGCTCGTCCTTCACCTGTTCCTCACTCGAATCATCATTGTCTTGTTTTATTTCACCCTCTTCCTTCCCTAAACTGGCTTTTTCAAACTCACTGCACTGTCTTTGCTGCCATGTCTGCCTCTCCAGCAGAGGTCCATTTGCCAAGGCGGATTTTTCCCAGTATGAATAGAATTTCTTCCAAAGCCTATACAAGCAGCAAGTCGTCTTCCCTGTCCCACTTCGCCCAATTAAAATGATTGGTTCCATGGGCTTTGGATTGAGATCAATTACTGCATACTCCAACTCCCCAACTCGGAAAGGGTATTCAACAGAAGTCTGCACATCATTTATAATGTTAAGTGCCATGTTAGTACTGAAACTGTGAAATTTTATTATATTGTACTCCAATTCGGCTGCACTGGCTGGAGGGAAATACTCAGGCATGGTATATTCTTTTGATTTTTCTGCCGCTGTGTCTTCAACATAACAACGTGGGACACGCTTCTCTGTTGTCACACTGTGGTTCTGATGTCCTTCATTTATACACTTCAGCTTTTTCCTCAAGATGCAGGATAAACCACGATTGTAGGAAATACATATATTTTCTAAGGCACGGTCCAGCTTGCCGTGGTCAAGAACAATGGCCCAAATTCTAATTATTTCTGTGTAAACTCTACCTGATTTTTCTGGAAGACTTTCTGTCTGTTCTGTCTCCATGATCTTTTCTGGACTCTCGCTGCAACGAGGAGAAAAGTCAATCGCAAGTTCCCAAAGCATTCTTGCACCTTTGTCCAATTTGGCTTCATACAGCCGGATATTAGCTTTCAGGTGTTTCAGTGGCTTCTGAAGGCCCCTAGTCCATTCCCCATTGCCAAGCTGCTTAATTGTCCTTATAGTTTTAGTTTTCAGATCATGAGGCACAGCTTTGTTGCTCAAAGTCTTCAGCATTTCAGGAGTGCACTCTATTTCCCAGGTCATGTTATCAAACTCCTGCTCATGTGCCTCAATATCCAGACTCTCCTCCTTTTCTTCCTTCTCTCCATTAGGCAGGGCCATGTTAAATTCCCCTGCTCCGTTCTTTTTCTCCCAATCATGCCTTTTTCCTTCAGGATAAGCTATGCTTCCATAAGACTGCAAGGAACTTCTTCCCTCCTCCAAACTAGTCTGAGTTGCAGGTGGTTTTTGTACTAGGGGATGATCCTTTCTCAGCATGTCGCCCACTTTCAGTTGCTGAATTAAAGTTGTGATTGCCTGCACTAGACTTTCCTGCAGTGTTAAAGGGCTATTTATTCCTTCTGTTTTCTGCTTTGCCAACTGACCTTTTCTTGTTTTTATAGAACACGGGGGTTTTAAATCATTAGGCATTACATTGCCAGATGGTGTTTTTAATGAGGACCCGGATGAAGAATGCCTTGTGCTCTTTGACTGTGAAGTCTCAGAGGCTGGAACGGGCTTAGATGTTTTACCCAATTGCCCTGCTCTATCTTGCCGGTGCTTCTTTTTCTCCAGTGCAGCATTATTCCAGGCAAGTAGCAGTGGGTCACTTTTTTTAATTCTATGCCTCACATCTCTTCCAGATTTGTTTTTTATATTAAAATTAATGTCGAATTTTGCCAATGACTCTGTTATTCTCTTAGTCTGCTTTGAAAATCCTCTCTGAAAAACAATATGCATCACTGTATTTCCATTCTCATCTTGTATGTTTGGATTAAGATATGGAAAGTCAGAAGGTCTTGAAGCAAAGAGATCAAGTAGATAGTTCAGGATGTTTAAACCAGTGCCATCTGAAAGCAGGAAAACAAATACAAAAAGAAATCACTTGCTTTACAAGGATGCATTGTATGCCAACAATATTTTTTTTCCTGCAGTTAGTGAATTAAAATCTATTTACTGTCAAAAGAAAAACAAAATCATGTTTGTAAAACATGGTTATTTGAAATGGCTCAAAACTGAGCTCTCCTAAGGTTCAGGGAAAACAACACAATGGCAGCAAAGCTTTAGAAATCCCTAGTGCTGTAACTTCTTCCCATTGCATTAGTCAATTACACTCCTTTTTAACCTCTGGGTACAGACAGATTTGTTCATTTTCCAACATGAGCCCTGACTGCTACCAAAGGAATGCCAGCAACTGGTCATCTGGACAAGCAGCAGCAGCTCTAGGTACTGCTCTGGGGTCATTTGGTTCACTTTAACATGGCACCCAGAAGTAACCTGCTGAGGATAACTTTGTTTCACTAAAATAACCCGCAGGAAATCCCAATTATTTCCTGATATTTGAGGTCCCTAAAAGCAACTTCCTACAAAATGAGGTTAGTCACCTCCCTGGGGGGGGAAAATATATATACATATATATCTATTCTACAGCTTTCTGGATTTCATCCAAATAATATATGTGATTTAAACGAGATAATTTATGTGAAACATTTCTTTTCTAGCTGTAAAATAGTGACAATGAAAAGCACTGTAAAGAAATCCCACCTTAAAAAATTTACACAGTGAGAAATACTTAAGATATTCTCATTGAACTTCTTAATCTTTTGATTTAAAATTTACAACTGGCAGTAGCTATGCTTTTAATCTCTCTAAACCCATTCACTGAAATGTGTTTAAAAATTAATAAATCCAGTATTTTTAATTATTTTCATTCTCCACCTCAAAAAATGCATTTTTTTCTTAATTTAAAATCAAACCTGACTTCGGGGCTTAATTTGACAGTTTATCTTACTTTCTTGTATTTTTATGTAAGCCCTAGAGTCCTTTCAGTCAGTTCTCCCCTAAACAACACTTTGCTGATTTATGACTGAACAAAAACCTTTGTTTCTTCCTAGATACTTCCAGTTTACTTCATTCCCACCTAGTCCACATTTTACAGGGTTTCAAAGAGGAGCCTTCCTTTCTTGATTAAACACAAGTATATTCACAAAATAGTAACTGACAGAGACATTGCAGTTGTTTGATTCCACCATGTCACCTGAGCTGCCATTACCTCTCCTCATAGTCCCAGACACTGGAACCAGAGAGCAGAACACATCAGCTTAACAAAGACTGGTGTGTATCCTCTGGCCTGCAAACTTTGGGGGCTGAGTGAGACAGTCAGACATTCTGATCTCCTGGCTCTGCTAGCACATCAGTAAACAGCAGCAGTGGGCTGGATAGGTAAGAAATGGGGATGTCTACAACAGCAAAAGCCTTACCTCTATTATTGAAACAGATGGAAACTGCAGCATGCAAAGGAGTATCTCCTTGTGTAACAGAGAGATTCTGAGGATCTGCACCTTTGGTCAGCAGCAAATACACCAGTTCAAAATAGTTCTTTTTGAGGCATATTTGCAGTGGAATTTCAGAGCTGGTTGCAATCCCATCTGGCAAAGCTGGAGTGAAGGACAGGAAAATATCAGGGGTTAAATCTGATATGCCAGATCTGCTAATTACAGAAAGTTCTGAACAGATGAAGGCATGCATATGCTGATTGCCAAGCAGGTGACAGTTTGAGGTTTTCTGTTAGTTTTTAACATGTATCTGTTAAACATTTTTTGACAAAGAAAAACCTTCATAATCTCCTCTTCCCATTAAGCTGAGCAACCAGTTCTCCTGTTGTGATAGGAAGACATAAAGGCCAGAACATATCTTCTTCAAGCCAGTCAGTCACTGACTGAAATAAGAAGCATCCTTGCACCTCTGGCATTCACAAGGCTTCATCAGGACTATGTGTCCATAACTTAAAGTTAGCATCAAGCTATAAGATTCAGTGAAAAATGACAGAGTAATCCTAGGAATAACCTCATGCAAAACAAGAAGAATGATGATGTCTACACTAGTTAAAAAAAGAAAGACATGTGGTCATGCCTTTGAAACCAATGAAGTAGTCAGTTACTTGCAACAGCAGACTGAATCAGAGACTGTAGCTAACAGTTTCTACCAGGACAATATTGTGGCTGAAGACAGAGAAATCAAGAAATCAAAAGAAACTACAAGCAAAGGAGCAACAATAATCTTTGACCTTTTACCGACCCTAACAAACCAATTTCATTTGACTAACATCTTCTACCCATGCAGCCTTACTAGCTTCCCATACGGCAGATGTAGCCAATGCACAGTACTCCAATGTACTGCTGCACTTACGCAGAGTCGCGAAAAAAACCACATGTTGGTATTTCTGAGACCTAATGTTGCTCCCAACATGTCAAATAACACACTAGATCTTTTATAGTACATTAATATTGCACTGGTTTTCACCTCCCAGTTCAAGTAAGCATCTTATGAGGTGCACTTGCGTATCCGATCTTTCACACTGTTGGATAATGTTGCCGATGTCAACATCTGGAAGACTGCAGTTTTTGAAGAGTCCTCCACCGGCTGGCTTTTCTCCATTGGCTTTCCCTGTTAGTAGCAGCAAAACTTTATGCCACATTTGCTTCTCCAGCAACTGTTTTATGAAGCTGTTAGCACAGGCATGGGAGATGTTGCATGGGATTTCTTCAGGGATTTCTGCAAGACAGTCAAACCAACACAACTCACTCAAAGTCTTATGACATCCATTTCACTGTAAACTAGTTTCAGAATAATTAATTCATTAAATTCAAAGCAAAGAACAACAAAATGCATCTTTCCATCCTTATGTTGTCAACCAAGTAAGTTTGAACATTTCGATGCACCATGCTGAATTTTTGTGCACATTCCAGTGATTCTAAGTGCAAAAAACCAACTGTAAATATAATTAAAAGCACATCATTCCAGTAATAACAGCTGCAGAAACAGAGAAGAGAAGGAAGGGTAAAAGGGCAAAAGGCATGTGTTAGCATCAAACACATTTTTCACAGCAATTAAGTTTTGTGAAAGGCAGAAATGTGAACTCACTGTACCTTCCAAAGAAGACAGCAGTTTCAGAAATCGCTTAACAGCACCTTCCTTCAATACATTTTTATTATGTGCTCCATTTTCAAACCTGTAGAACTGGACAAACTGTTCCACAACATCCCGGAGAGAATCTGTAGCAGCTATGGCACTTTCTTTCCCCCCTGCAAAACATTACAGAAATTGAAAACCCATTTCCTTGATGGCATGTTTTCAGGGCAAGACTGCAAAGCATTACATCCCAGGGCTCTAAGAAACCTGTAGTGGCAGATTAAAATCAGACGGCTGAAACTTACTGCCAATGCCAGTCCTGTGATGGATTTCTCATCCCAAAGTATATTTGATACTTTCATCCAATACACTCTTGTCCTGGCTTTGCCTGGGACGGTGTTATTTTTCTTCTTAGTAGCTGGTACAGTGCCATGCTTTGGATATAGGATGAGGATAAGGTTGATAACACACTGATGTTTTGGCTGTGAGCAGTGCTTACCCTGTAACAAAGCCTTCTCAGTGTCCCATGCTCTGCCATTGAACAGGTGCACAAGAAGACTGGAGGGAACACGGCCAGGACAGCTGACCTGAACTGGCCACAGGAATATTCCATACCCCACACAATGTCATGTTCAGTACATAAACTGGGGGGAATTGGCTATGAGGGGCCCATCACTGCTTGGGGACAGGCTGGGCATCGGTTAGCGGGGTGTGAGCAATTGTACTGTGCAACACTTGTGTTTCTTGTGTTTTACTCCTTTCTCCTTGTCATCATTTTTAATACTACTACTACTAATTTACTTTCTTTCAATTATTGAACTGTTCTTATCTCAATGCACCATGGGAGAGAGGGCGAAGTGAGCAAGCAGCTGAATGGTACTTAGTTGCCAGCTGAGGTAAAACTATGACACTCTTTACCATAATACCCTAGACTGAAAACTAATAGTTTTAAAGTTGATCTGTATAAAAGCAGGAAAACGCTGCCTCACAATTATATCACTGTTCGGAATTTAGAGTGGATGACTAAACCCAGTAATGTTTTCAGTATACAGTTTTAGTCAGATGACCTGAGCTTGTCTGATTCCTCAGCGTCATTTACAAAATACAGCCATAAAATAATTTGTCCTCTTAGAAGAAAAAAACAAAACCAAAAAATTCCATCAGACCAAAATGATATCTACAAGATTAAGATTAAGAGATACTTATGTAATGGGTAATAGCAGATTTTAAATGATGTCCCAATAAATGCCCTTAAATAAACACTGAAATACTTGGCCTGGATTTCCTAAAAGGTTTGAGGAATTTAGCTACATCAAAGACCAAACAAAACAGTAGCTTTACCCCATAGGACAAAAGAGACAGATAAGGTTAGTCATCTTTTTAGCAAAAGAGACTAACCTCAGACTGTTAGCTATAAAGGTGGGGTTTATTCTCCAGCCTCTCATTTGCAGTAAGCATGGAAAACTCTCGCAGGTTGTGCATTGCAAAAAAACCCCACCCAAAATCTGGTCACAAAAGACAGGCTGAGCTACCTGAAACACCAACCAAAGTGATTACTGCCACATGGGTATTGGTGTTAACCCCTAACCGAGAACCACCACGCTAAAACCTTCTCCAGAGCAGAGATCTCCGCAGCAAAGAAAAAGAAACTGTGGGAATTTGTCTGCCAGGAGCCCTAAGATGCAAGCACAATGAAACCCAGTTTTCCAGTAAACTTACATGCAACGCACACATGAAAACTGAGATGGAACCTAAAAACTTTGCTTTATGCCAAGTTTGATCTGAACAGTTAGACAGCAATTGCCTTCAGGCAAGGACAAAATATTCACTTTTGACTGGTAGGAGATCACGGTGACAACTCGTAGGAGAAGTTACATAAAACCCACCCACTATTACCAAATCAAAATAAAACAATTTTGTACCTAAAGGATATAATTTTAAAACAGGAAAAGCACATAGTGCCTGTAGTACCTGTCTGTTTCTCAGAGGAAGTGTGTTTCTCAATGTGCTTGCTGACTTGTCTTACAGCATCAAAGTTTTTGTTCTTTTTCAAGATATCTATGACATATCTTGACCGCGCATCTGGAAAAGTGGGATCAACCCCAAAATTCAGGAGCATGATCACATCTTCTGTTTGGCCTAAGAAAACACATGAATAAAAATTAGAGGAAGAATAATTCACATTGTTCAGGGGTCTTGTTCTGTTTTCCTTTTTATTTTTAATTTCCTGGCAAAATTTCTAGCCTATTTTTAATTTAAAAGATTTCAATTTTTCCAGTGTCATAAGAATGAGGCATTGGAAGGTGACTTGATAAACCAGAATATTTCACACATTCAGGCATAAATATACACAGGTAGGCACTGAGTTTCTTTCCTGTGAAACATAAACCACGATTTTCTTGGAAATAAACTTTGTAACTAAGATGTCTACTTTGACTAAAAGTATAATTGTCTTCAACAGAAACTGCTATCCTCTGTAGCATTTCACTACAAGTATTACAGATTACACATAAGCACAATAAATATGATGGTGATTTAAAGCCTTGACATCATACCTAATATTCTGGAAGACTACAAGCTCACTTCTTAGTATGCCACACTGTACTACTAGGGGAAGCTTTACAGCTGCCTGTACTTCTCTTGCCTCAAAGAGGCACATTTGCTAGTAGTCATGCCCTCAGAACAGTTGGGAGAGCACAGGAGCACCAAATCACCAAGTCATGCAGGAGAAAACTGAGCAACGGTGAGCAAATAAGTGTTAGACCACCACCCCTGGCACACCACCACAGGACCTGAAGATCTTGGAGGTCTTTTTCAACCTCAGTGATTCTATGATATATAATGTTCAGAATGAATAGCTAAAAAGAAATAAATTTTAATAAATACATATTAACATATATAATCTCCCTATAATAAATACTATATGAATATTATTAAATAAACCTTAATTTAAGGAAAAAATAAATTTATACAGATATGCAGTCTCTTCTACAAATGTGTAAGTCATTTAGCAGCAGATGGAACTGCTGCAAAAGATGTGTTACACCTTTCCAGAAAATGAAATTATTTAGATATAAGTTGTGCACATTTCATTCACACTATTAAAGCAAACCACCAGAATGTCACTGCATGCAATGACCCACAAGTCTGGTGTTATCTTGGCATTGATGTTTGTTTCCCGTTGCCACCTAGTGAGCAGAGTAAAAAATACAAGGAAAAAAGCCAGGTTAACATAAAAGAAATCCCACAGAAAATGTGAAGGAAAGCATCCTGTTTTCCTCCTCTGACAATGTACGCTACTACTCGGTCTTAAATTTTCACCTATTTTAAGGACACATCAAACTTTAAAAGGTAACTTCTAAGATTCTAAAAACTGCAGCATACTTGTGGGAAAATCCTAATCAGTCAAACCAAAGAGCAAAGGAAACTGTCAGACATCAGGTACACAATTTCGAAAAGGAATTGTTGAAATGTTTAAATATTACTTGTTATTACACAGTCTACCTTCAGATACCTTCTCATTTTCTTCCTTCGCATGAAACAGTAAACACCGAGGTCTGAAACTTTCTTCCATTATTGATTGTTTAATATGAAAACAGAGCAACACACGCACACAAACAAAAAAATTGTACTTACTGCTTTTCTGGGAATATTCATTGGAAGAGGCCACAATATGCAGGAGGGTATGTCCATCTCTGTCTTGCTGGTTGATCCTATCCTTCAAGTCTGGCCTCTGAGTCAGTAACCACCTGAAGAGATGGTTATTTGCTGAAATAACAGAAAAACACACATAAATAGATTAGCGTTTTTTTCTCCTATGAAATGGCAAGATGCAAATCTAAGGTTGACTCATGACCCTTTCACAGACATAGAAACTGCTGCTCCACACTGAGATGGCAGGACGAAACACTGTTCTTTTGTCAAAGTTTATATATTCTGGTTACAAAAGACCCATATCAAACTACACTTTTGCTTCAAATCACAGAAGAGAACAACTATAATAGGTTTCCACCACTATCAGGCAAAGATGATCAAAGAGAGTGTTTAAAACATTTCTAAAATAGTGCTTTACTGGCACATGCAAGATTATACTTAATAATCTGACCTGAGTTGTTGTGAATTTTTTTTTAATTTAAAAAAGCTCTAAGTGTCAGTTCTCTAAGGAAAGCCACCACTGGTTTATTTTAGCTGCAGATGTCACTCACTTGCTTTGATACACAGTCTGATAACAGCATGCAGCGGATACACTCCAATGGATTCAGCTTTTGCCCCAATGGAAATTAGCCACTTGACTAACTCCACTAGTCCTTGCACCTTCTCACCACGACCATACAACTCAGAAGTCTGACAACAAAGAGAACAATTACAACACATTATTTTTACATACACAAAAGGTATTTCCTTTTTAATTCTATTTCCATGTTTTTATGACAAGATTCAGTGGAACAATAACAAGCTATATCCATTGTAAAATGAAAATATTTCATAGACTTTCATAGCATGGCTTGGGTCAGAAGGGACAATAAAGATCATCTAGTTCCAACCCCCAATAGGCAGGATCACCTTTCACTAGACCAGGTTGCTCACAGTTCCATTCAACCTTGCCTTGAATGCCTCCAGGGATGGGGCATCCACAACTCCTCCTGGCAACCTGTTCCAGTGCTTGACCACCCTCTGAGTAAAGAATTTCTTCCTGGTATCTAATGTAAACCTACTCCTTTTCAGTCTGCAGCCATTCCCCCTTGTCCTGTCACTACACGCTCTTGCAAAAGCCTCTCTCCATCTCTCCTGTAGGCTCCCTTCAGGTATTGGAAGGCTGCAATTAGATCAACCCAAAGTCTTCTCTTTTCCAGGCTGAACAATCTCAATTCTCTCAGCCTTTCCTCATAGCAGAGGTGCTCCATTCCTCTAATCATTTTGGGTGTCCCTCTTCTGGACTCGCTCCGACAGGTTGATGCCAGAAATAGTGTGGCCAGCAGGACTAGGGAAGTGATTGTCTCACTGTGCTTGGCACTGGTGAGGCTGCGCCTTGAATCCTGTGTTCAGTTTTGAAACTCTCACTACAAGAAGGACATTGAGCTGCAGGAGCATATCCAGAGAAGGGCAATGGAGCTGGGGCAGCGTGTGGAGCACAAGTGTGATGAGGAGCAGCTGAAGGAGCTGGGGTTGTTTAGCCTGGAGAAAACAAGGCTCACGAGGGACCTCATTGCTCTCTACAACCATATGAAGGGAGGTTGTAGCAAGATGGAGGTTGGTCTCTTCTGCTGTGTCCCAAGTGAAAGGAGAGAAAACAGCCTCAAGTTGCACCAAGGGAGGTTCAGACTAGATACTAGGAAAAAAAAATTTCACTGAAAGAGTGGTCAGGCATTGGAATAAGTTGCCCAGGGAGGTGAAAGTGTTCAAGAGGCATCCGGGTATGGCACTTGGGAAATGGTTTAGGGGTGATTCTGGTTGTGCTGAGTTGATCTTGAAGGTCTCTTCCAACCTTGAGGATTCTAGGATTCTGTGAAAGCACACAGCCTGAGCAGAAGACAGCTGAACTGAAAACAGATGTTCTAGCAAGGACTTAATGAACATAAAGCATAGTCTACAAGGGGCACAGCAATATAGGGTACTCTGGAGGTGTCCAGAGGAGGGTCAGATGGAAATTGAGACAATATGCCAGAAGGATCAGGACATGAAGAGGTGGTCGGAAACAGTGTTCAGACATAATTTCTGCATTTGTGCCTGTCATCTTTTTAAATAGTAGTCTTCACACATGCTTTCAACATCCACAAATAAATCTTTTTTTTTTTCATACCTCATGCCAAATTTTGACTGGCAAGAATTACTGTTTGTGAACAGTTAAAAAAAAATCAAAATACGACAAATTACAGGGAGATTGTAGTGGCAGCAGGGGAAGTCTGAGTTCTCAGAAAGCCACATTTTCTAATTTTCACAAAAGAGAAGCACTGCTTAGAGATTTTTCATCTCGATTCTTTCAGTCTTCCATGTGTACAACAAGCCCACTAGAATAGGTAAGACTTGTGGGGTCAATTCAACAACAAAGGACATGCTATTTTGTAAAGGCAACCCATGTTTCTCCTCCTCTCTCGAAGTATTTTGCTTTGCTTGCCTAGGAAGGAAAATATTTTACTAAGACACTCTACATGCATCTTCTATTGTGTTGCCATGCTTTACTGCCAGTGTGAGTAGTTACTCTGTTGGCACTAACACAGCACACCTCTGGCTAATGATACCTAAGACATGCTTGTATATATCCATCCACTAACTCTTCTGCTGTCACTAAAAATAAGCCTATGAGAGATGTTGATTTATATCCTTTACACTGCCCTTATTTTTCAGAATTGCTTCTGCTCACTCTGTCAGGCACCTAACTGAAATAGCCCCAATTTGAAATTATTTTGACAGAAGTACCACCAGCACCGTAACAGCCAAACGGCAAATTCTGGCATATTCCATCAATATGCCTTAAACCTTAATTTGCCAACCAGTAAATGCCAAGCAAAGGTACTGAGTAGCCTACAGCTAACATCTTCTAAAGTTTCTGTCAGGAAAATCACAGTGCTGTAAGAAATCCAGAAATTCTTTACTGTGATGCAGTGAGGCACTGGAACAGGCTGCCCAGAGAAGCTGTGGATGTCCCATTCCTGGCAGTGTTCAAAGCCAGATTGGACAGGACTTTGAGCAAACTGGTCTAGTGGAAGGTGACCCTGACCATGGCAGTTTGGAACCAGATGATCTTTAATGACCCTTTCAACCCAAATCATTCTATGATTCCATGATAAAGCCTAAGGAATTTCTCAATGAATGTGCAACCATATCTTTTAAAAGTAGGTTACCTACAACAGAACTATACTTAATTAACATACACACCAAGAAATGAAAGAATAAACCCAAAAAATGCTTATACAGAAAAGAATTTTTTAGTAGTCTGTAAGAAATGTTTTACTTAACTGCAACTGAAATAGGCTGGGCAACCACTGTGTGGTGAGAGGCACATGCTTTGTGAGATGCCTTTAGAAAGCTGATATGTCACTGCTATGGACACTGGCTGTTCCTGAGTTGCAGAGCTGGTGAACTCCCAGCAGCTCCTGGCTCACAGTCAGCCCCCAGCCACACCTTGGTTCCCAAGGTAGCAGAAGCCATGGCTGCTCACCCCTTAGTGCACTTAAGGCATTTTGATGGAATACCTGTGCACAAAGCCAGGGGTGAGCAGCAGCAAACTCTCCAAGGCCACCTAGTCACACAGCAAGGTGGGCAGAGCCTCTGGGGTGTACCAGTGGCATGGACACCAGGCAGGTACAGTCATCCAGCAGTAAGTTTGTGTGAGCATGGCAGTTTGTGACAGCTTGTCCTAGTTAGGACAGCTGAGATCAGTTCATCATGGTGGGTGTAACCCAAAACTGTATTCTATAGCCTTCCATGTCATTTCCCAGAAACTAGACTATTGTTGTCAATAGACTATTCGCACCTTCTGCCCATAGAGCCTGACTCCTCAGGCTATAAACTAGGTGTTAAGAGGCCTGTGAGATAGGAAGATGTTTCTGTCCTCACACCCTTTGTGGAACTCCCCGCCCTGAGGGGAGCACTGAACATTCCTGCCTGAACTGGAGGATATATAATCTTGGAGTTTTGGAACATTTTTCAACCCACTCGTGGGATCCAGAGGACGGCTGCATCTCATCGCTCTCAACCAGACTTAGACCACCACTGGACTGCGATCACCAGTTCTGGCCAGACTGCAGCAGCTCTCCCACCAGCAGGTTCTTCCCCTCTCCCTTTACTTTGGACTCAAACAGGGCCCAAGGAACACCACTTTGTTCATGCCCCAGGGCACTGGGTTATACATTTGGGTTTTTGTGGGTTGAGACCAATTGTTTGTTTGTATTATTGTACTTACTGTATTATTTTAATAAATTGTTATTCTGACTTATAATCTCTCCTTTGAGTTGAGTTCATTCCCCCTGCTGGTTAACTTTTATTTTATCCTGCCAGCACAGAAAGTTTGGACGTTCCCAAATGCTGCAGAACATGAGGAATCACAATATAAAGAAAAGAGTAAGTTTCAGGAGAGCATCATGGGGATCAAGTTCTGCTGTCTGCAGATGCCATCATCTCTGCGAAAGGTATCAGGAATTGTGGCTACTTGGTCTATGACTACATGCTTCCACCTTGTCAAAATCCTCTAAATAATCTGAGAAGTGTCAAAGCCTTTACAGAGAAAGTTTAGCAGTTGCTACATAGATGTAAAGCATCCTACCAAAAATGTTGTGTGTTGAGGGAAAGAAAAATTCCAGCACTGCACCCAGCTCAACTCCCTGTGATTATACTCAATACCATGAAGCAGTCCAGAGACAGGCTAGCAAAGTACAAAAATATCCTAGCCCATATCCTAAGTTCCTCTCATTGGAAAGCATACCCAATTTAACTGATATCAGACATCTTTCAGTATTAAATTGTCAAGTTAGAAGTGTGACATAGATATCTTGCTGTATTTGAGAGAAAAATGTCTTCTTTTGATCAAATAAAAGGAAATAGTAAATTACATACAGAAATTAACCAAGCTGGAGGTTTTAAAATTTTCAAAGGAAAAGAAACAAAATATTTAGCATGATAATATAACATCCATATATTTTTCATTTTATTTTTCTTGCACACAAGATGGAAAATCTCTCACTAAACTAAAAAGAAAGAAAAGATACAGACACAAGGAAAAAAGAGAGAATACTACTTTACCTCAAAGAGATTCTTCAGAGATACCTGGTTGACTCTGAGATTACTGGGCAACTTTTCCTTCTCAGACAGCAACAACAGACAAGACTGAAAAAAAACCCCACATTAGTGATCTTATAAGCACACTTAGAAACTCTGCATCATCAGATCTTGCAGGGAAGCAAACACTGGCTAACAACATTTCGGATCTTTTTGTAATATTTTAAGAGATTACTGAATCTCCTCTTCTAATTTTCAACTGAATTAATGTAACACACAGTGGAATATGACCAATGAAAGTTTTCCTCCCCCTCCTTCTCCACCTCTGGTTCTTGCAGGGCTGTTTCTCTCACTCTTTCCCCCTCACTCTGCCAGGCAAGTATTTGCCTTTCTTAAAACACACTTTCCCTGTGCCACCTCCACCTTGGCTGCAGGGCTCAACCATGCCCTGGAATAGGGCCATTGGAGTGGCTGGAAGCAGGGCAGCCCTGGTCGCTCCTCACCAGGGCCCTGCAGCCTGGGCTGCCAGCACCTCACCATCAACATCCAATACAGGTACAATTGTGACAATGATCAATTTTTTCCATAGTCTCTAGAGAAAATAGGATTAAAATAATTTCAGATGATTCGCCTTCGGACTTTTCTAAATGATCTGGTTTTGTTTAACAACCATGTACTTCCACCAAGATGCTCCTTGTTTGTGGGTCTTTCACAGACAATTTCAAAAATCCTACTTGTGACCCAAAAGGAAAAGGGGCTACAAATACTCTTGTGGGTTTTTCCCCCTCTCAAATTTCAAGAATAATGACTCTAGATGGCACCATAAGACAGACAACAGCAAGAGCCAAGCAGGATTTCATGCCCATTGCATCCCTTCCAGAAATGAATTTCAGAAATTATTTACCACTAAAAGCATTTTTCAAGTCATAAGAATCAAGACATTTGAACCAGGCAGCAACATATACTTACTGTTTTGGCTTTCAAAGGTAACATAAGCTTATGTTGAAGAGGTAAGACGAGCACCCACCACACAGAGGGAGGTGACACGGTGACAGACTTACCCTCCACTTCCCTTTCTGGGCCAGCCTTTCTATCACCGCTTGCCAAACCAGTGCATCAAATCTTGCACTGAAAACATATTCATATGCAGGGGGAAAAGTTGGTGGAAAGATTCGTTCATCTGCAAGCATAAGCAATTGAGAAAACTATTGGGTATACAGAGCACTTCAAAAGTTGGAGACTCCAACTAAACTATGTCATTGCACAGTGACGATTTTAGCACTGATTAATACCCAAGGGAATGCCAAATGGGGGATTAAATAACCCTGATCACCCAAATGATACAGCATCCTGTTATCAGTGGCCAGACTTCACTAAACAAAGAGAAAAAAATTAATCCCTGCCCTCAAGAAACACCTCAAAACCCCAAGACTTTGTGAACCTCGTGGCAGTTCTTCTACTTGTGGGTCAATGAGCTATGGATGCTGCTAAAAATAATCAAGGTCCTAAACACATGGCTACAAGCTCAAGGAAAGGCAGTAGGGGCACAACCCTAAATCTCCTGGCATGCTTGCAGGCCCATTAGACAAAGTCTGTTGAACAGACAAAAAAGCAAGCAGAGGAGGAGAGACTGAGGAGATGGCAAGGAGACACAGGGTGGACATAGCTCAAAAAAAACCCACACAGTGGCACAGGAAGTCCCCCACACTGGAATACACTGCACTGAAAACTCAAGTTTAAACTGCATATCTTCTAATTATTTTCAAATATATCTAGCTAAAAGAAAAGCAGAGTGGTCTGGACAAAATTCACTAAATGCCTCAGGGGTCTGGTGCTCCAAATTTCCTGTCTTGTTTCCCTGCCCCTGAATTTTGACCTTTTCTAACTACTTCACAATTGACATGTTCCTGTGATATCTGAGATTTGAGATGTAACAAGAACTAATAGTTTTTGCAGTGGAATGTACCACAAAAACTACATATCGTTGAGCCAAGTGATTTAAAGGGACCAATCAAGCAAGGTGAGGAAACAATGAAGAAGGGAACTGAAGCAGTCGAACAGGCAGCACTGGGTTGATATATAACCAAAGGTATTGTCTTAAAGAAGGTCATAAGGCAATCATTTCGAACTTTAGGGACTTGAGACACAGACAACCACTAGAGACCCCCAGTGAAGCCCCTCGGAGACCTTGTAGGGATATGTATATACGCTAGAAAGTGTTGGGCAATGTCATGAATGTATAACAGGAAGGCAGGGAATGAAAAATGAATAATCATATAATGCCAACATATCAGCTGTAGCAAAGATAGCTCTGTGTGCACTTTAAGCGAACTGATTCCCAGGGTACCTGGTATGCTGTGCATTGTAATAAACAATGCCTGGCTTCTAAAACTCATAAATTGTGTCTCAGAGGTTTCTTTTAAGAGTCAATTTTAGGCAACACCTGTGAGACAACGCTACCCCCTGCACAGTGTTTTGCAATTGTTGGCATCTGCTGTATACAAACTGGACCAAGTTCAGCACATCCTCAACATATTCGTAACCCTCAAACAGACCTGAGGCACTGAAAGACCAAAGGAATGATCTCATGAAAGACATCCTGTCAAGGATTTGCGTTGTCATCACTACTGAAAGGTTCTTAGAAAAATTAAGATCTTAATTTGAGCTTACCATTGACACTTATGAAGATTCCTGCTACAAAATCAGCAATTTGAGTTCGATCTCCAGAAGAATTCAGGAGAACCAAACCTTTATGAAACATAGAAACTGCCTTGTAAGAGTTTGATAACATGATGAATGACTGGCCAGCTCTATAATAAGCCTGAAAAAAAAGGAGAACAAAAGACAATTGTTGGGAAAATATTCAGAGATCTTTACTACAAAACAAAATGTTGCAATTTTTTTCTAAATTCTCTATTATAAAATGACATGTTGTACTATTTCTACAGCTTCTTATACACAGATAAAAACAAAAAAGTGCAATCAACTATTCTATTCTAATCCCTTGAAGTTCACAATATGCTACTGATATCATCACAGATACTAAGAGCGATAAAGGCTGGAACACAAAACTTGGAAAATAACTACAGGATGAAAGATACACTTTTAGCAACTGTATTTTAACCTCCTCTGGACAAGGTTTTTTTTTGTCACAAAGTCCAGAATATATAATTATGTCCCCACATCACTGTATTTTGCCGTATTTGCCACAATGCATATATTTTTCAGCCAATGGCACCTGAAGATGTTTATATTCACCACTGAATTAGGCTGTACCAGCTCAGTCACAGTGGAGTTAATTTGTTCAAATTACATAAATTGGCATGCTGCAGTGCAAGTTAAATGGGCATTTTTTTGTGCAATTTTACCATATCTGAATGAAATATCTTCTACAGAAGTCTCCGGGAGTCTGTAGTAGTCAGACCAGAAGACTATCACAAAGAAGCCAATCCAAGAGTATGCCTCCATATCATAAATACTGTACAACTGCTCTTTATTCATAGCAGATGACTATTTGAGTCAATGTGTACTTAATCACAAGCTAAGAGCAGTGTATTGTTCTGTCCACTGGAAATACACTATGACCTTGATCACCATGTACTGTTCCCAGGAACTGCAGACTTATTAACACATAAAAGAATATTAGCACATACTGCCCAAGAGAGCCTTCAAAGCTAAGTCCCCATCCCAGAGCTGAGTGCTGTCATCTGTACTGTAAGCCAGGCTCTGTAAGACCACAAGCGAGCACAGAGATGGTGAACTTCACCACAGACAAGATCTCCACATGGCCTGACCAGACACGCAGCTAGTGTCAGGTCAGGTTTCAAGCATCACAAGGTCACGTAAGATTTTCATCTTTTATCATTTCCTATCACGTTGTTTGGGATACTAATAAAATTGTTATATTCCTTGAAAGCATTGGTGCTTCACTTGTTGGGACCCAGGGACAACCAGCAACTCCTGGTGCAAAAAGATCTGCTTTATTTTATTAAAAGTACTATTACAGTAGTAAATCTGATGCTTATGTATAGAATCAAACATTGATTCTGGAATTTCATGTTATATTTGCCTATCATACCTCAAAGCCAAAACACAATAAAAACAAGACTATGACACTTTAAAAAAGGAAAAAAGTAAGGAAGGCATGCAAAACCCATCAGCTTAAACATCTGAATACCTTAACATACTCTGGATCCCACTGTAAGCTCTGGTAGGCTAAAAATGCTGCTTCATTCCATTTACCCAGATAGTACAAGGCTGTTGATTTGTTGCACATCAACACAGCTATGTCCCGGGAACACCTAAAAATATGTTTTTAGCATTACTGTTTATTCGCTTGAAAAAGGATCATATTTTACAGTTAGCCATATGGGAAAATGAAAACAATATACATATCACCCACCTAACAAAATTAGAGGTAAAAAATGTAGTTGTAGAAAATAAAGATCATTGGAACATTGTCTATAAAATCTCTTAGAGACATCCTAAATGATACCTTAGTGATAACCTGGTCTCTTCTGAAGCAGAAAGCCAACCCAGTGGAATAATGCAGTATGGCAATTTAGAAAGAGTTCAGACAATCTCAATTCACCTACATATAGCTCAGTGAAAGTCAGCAGCCAAGAATGGGAGAAAACACGTGAATGGAACACATAAATGTGAGACGGAAACAATGCTAAACACATTATGGTCACCAAAAAACAACCTCAGTGCATTTTACTGTATCACCAGTTGATGAAGTCAACAGAAAAATCCACATCAGCTAAGAAATAAAGAAATGTATTTTAAGAGAACTCTATATACTCAAGTATATAAAGCATCTACTGAATGCAAGAGAGTTTCTGGAAAAAGATGCACACAAACCATAGCCCACAGGGTGCTGGTGAGCCTGGAAAGCCTGCCTTGCCTGTGCTCAAACAGATAGTATGTGCCACAGAGCTACATCCTTCATGTTCTTCCTAGCTACTAATTCACACTCAAATAAGTTGTTTCAACACACTGAATGTGTTCAGAGCACACTCCTGCATGCGAGCAAATCCTGACGCAATCCCATGCCAATGGTAATGGAGATATTTGGGACCAGATCCCTGTGTATGATGAAGGCACACTGACAGTAAGGAACAGGCACTGAAAGGAGCCTGCTCAGCTCTGTCCTCGTTCCATCCCATTCCCTACAAATGCTCCAGACTTACCTTACTGCTTAGTCTAAACAGTTAACAGCCAAACTAAATGAATGGCTGGTGTTAAATTAGGTTAACAGCAGTGTTAATATACTGTAGTAATGAATATTTAATAGTTAACATAACACTCAAATATTTCATCACTAGTAATATTAGCAACTGATGTTAACTGTTAAAAAAAACCACTTAACATCTGGAAAGAAATACCCAAAGAAATCTGCTGAAAAATTATCTTTTAACATACCTGAAAATACTAAGAAAGACCAAATAACAAGAACAAAGTAACTTGCATGAATCGTTTTACAGATAATCAGACGACCCACAGAACCACAGGCCACAAACATGACCAAGACATGGCAAAATCCCAGGAAGATTAATCCACAACATGTCATCCAATTTATGGAAAATTAATTTGAGCTTTAATTACACTAATAACTGATGGAAAAGTATTCAGATTAAAGTCACTAATTAATCTCCCACATATATGGAAGGAACAGCAATTCCTCTTTAACTATAAAACTGATACACTAAAGAGTATGACAAAATATACAAGAAAATCAGGTGTCAGGCCAAGAAATAGAGTTTTGAATTAACTGTACAACTGTACACATTTCAGGCTTGTCTTATGGTTTACATGTTATAATTCAAGAATACTTACGGGACCCATTGCATCAAAAAATGAAGTGTTTGTAGAGCTTCATCATACTTTCTGATGGCCAAAGAGTAATTTCCATTTTTAAAAGCCTGGTTTCCGGCCTGCTTCATACTCTGTGCATGTTCCATGGGATTCATGCTAATGAAGAGCAAAAAAAAAATTAATCAAATAAAAGCATTGATTTATGAGACACTTCTATCCCTAAAATCGACCTAAATTTTCACCTTTGTTTCTGCATATTTGAAAAGAAAGACAAAAGAGCGCATCTTTGTTTGCTTCAATTGGAATAGTAAAATACAGCTCAGGTGATAGGCTCACCTTTGCTCTTGATGCCTCCTCAACTTCCCATCTTTTTTAATTAATCTCAGCTAACCAGATATACCATAGGTATGCATTTTTTTCAGTTTTTCTCCTCAGGTCTTAAACTGTATCTTTTAAATTAAGATTCAAAATTATTTCAATGTGTGCACACACACTAAATGCAGGAGAACAAACATCATTCATATGCTTAAGTAATACATGAAGCTATGCATTTCAATTAATTAAACACAAAATTTATTTACTTGCTCTTTACTTATGACTTTGTTGTCCAGCTCCTCTGTCTAGACATTCAATAATCCAATGTATACAAAACTGCTTAGAAACTTAATTACTGCATGGATATATGGTACTGCAGTATATTTATAGTGCATGAGGACCCTGGATCAGACTTTAAACAGTTATTAAAATGAATATAGAAAGTGTCCAAAGAAAACAAAGGTTGAAACCAGCATCAACTGCAAGTTAATGAAAAAATATTTCATCATTAAAAATGTAAAATCAGGTTCATTACATAAAACTAATCACATGATTAAGTAGCTAGATAATAGAAACAAACACAAGAGAAGAAACAGCTACAGGTATGTTGAGAAAACAGCACATTAAAAACAGAGAGGAATACCCAATGCTAAAGCCTTGTGTAGAATCATTCCCTGCAGATTGATTTTATGACTAAAAGATATTTCCATTACCTGTAAAACTGTGCATGAATCTCACAAATCTCAATGCTGTTAAATAAGATAAATTCACCATACAGGAAGGCACAGATTTACTTATTATCCAGGTATTAGCAGGCCTGGAACAAAACCTATAAAATCTGTAACCTTTCACAACCTGCTAACATAATGTTGTGGTTTAATCTGGCAGGCAGCTACACAACACACAGACCTTTGCTCACTCTCCGCCTCCTCGAGTGGGACAGGAGAGATAATCGGGAAAAAAAGTAAAATTTGTGTGTTGAGATAAAGACAGTTTAACAGGAGAGAGAAAAGGAAGGGAAAATATTAATTCTACTACTAATAATAAAACTAGAGTATAGAAAACAAGTGATGCACAGTGCAATTGCTCACCCACTGACCAATGTCCAGCCAGTTCCTGAAGAGTGGTCCATGGCCAGTTTTCCCTCCTAATTCATATACTCAGCATGACAATCTATGGTACGGAAAACCCGCCTGGCCAGTTCAGGTCAGGTGTACTGGCTGTGTCCCCTCCCAGCCTCCTGTGCCTCTTACACCCCCCCACCCCACTGCAGCTGACAGGGCAGCATGAGAATCTGAAAAGTCTGGCTTAAGGTAAACACAGCTCAGCAACAACAAAAACATCAGTGTGTTACCAATACTATCCTCATACTAAGTTCAAAACACAGCACTGCACCAGCTATTGAGAAAATTATCCCAGCTGAAAGCAGGACTGAACATCTGCAAGATCTCTTCACAACACAGCAAACTAGATATTTTTAGGTATATGAAGTAACAGACAAACTGAGAAACACTACCAGCATATTTTCTCTGTAGTACTCCTCATGATGAACCTGAAACACTGAGAGCCACTACTGTATTGTGAATACAGAGGTATGATGAGGTATGGCTGACACTCTGCATTTATCCAAGCACAAAAAGCGCTCAGCAGGCTGACAACTGCACTAAGCAAACAGCAGAACAGCAGCCCACAACTCTGAAGAGGCAACAGCAGAAGAACCAGGTGCAACCACAGAGTTCAGATCCAAACTGCTTCAGACTGATCGGGAAAAGCCCTGTCAGAAGTTATGTCTTCTTAAATTAAACAAATAAACACTCTGTGATGATGCCTACAATCCAAACATCACCTCAGTAATTCCAGGGAAGCACCAAAAACAGATGAAATCCTGGCTATAAACTAAATTGAAGAAAAAGAGGTCCCATCTACGTGGTGGATGTAGGACAACCAGTCATGCTAGAGGAATAATTTTGACATTTGGCCCAGGCAAATTAAATCATCACTTCACTGAGCATTGTGAATACAGTATATACTTTAAAAATGCTATTTTTCCAGACAGCAAATCAAGTGTATTCATAGCATACGCAGGACTTTTTTAACACTACACGGTATGAGCACTATTAAGGTGAAGAAAAGGAAAAAAACAGCAACAGAACAAAGAATAAAAAACAAGTGCTAAGAGATTCTATCTCACATTTTTTGTAATTCTTTCAGATTTCAACTTTTTAGCATCAAAAGATTTGAGAAATTATTTTCCTCAAGAATAATACCAAAATAGCTCAACTACACAGCAGTTTATCCATGAACAAGTATATGTGAACCAATGTTTTTCTAATTTATAGTTGAATTTCAAGGGGTTTTTTGTTTTGGTTTGGGTTTTTTTTAAGAAAGCTACGCTTCTATTTCGGGTGATTTTTTTTTTCCCCAGAATTACATTTTTATCTTATTTTTCTTTGGAATCCACTAAGAGTACAAATAAAGGGTATTTAAAAGATGTTTAAAGTATTATTTTTCCCACAGTACAGCAAAAGACCCCCAATCACAACATGCATTTAAAAAGGACTTTCAAATGTGTCCTGTGCTGAGAAATTTTGAAACTAAGCTCCCTGTTTCAGATCAGGAGGCAGCAGGATTTCCAGCTCCTCCTGATTCTCATCCTTTTCCAGCACTGGAGTTTCCCAGTCAAAACTTCAAACTGTAGATCATTTAAATAACTGGGATGTCTGCTGGAGGCTTTTGCAACTACACCCAAGTTTGTAGACCCAAGAGATGCACTGGCATGCAAATCTGACATCTAAGTTAATGATCCAAAAGAATCACTGTGCTGACTAGCACAGCAAGTCTTGCTATTGCCTAACATCTTCCTGAAGCATAAACAATTTTAACTCAAACCAATGGACTAACTGAAGACCTATTACGTAAAGTCTACCAAGTGTGAGGAGCATTAAACAAAAATGTTGTCTATTACACAGCTGTATCTGAACATAGCCAAAGAAAGACTTTGTTGGGTTGAGTGCTGTGGGTTAACCCCAGTGGGCAGCTAAGTGCTTGCTTCCCCCCATCCCCAGTGAGATGGGGAAAGAGGAAAGGAAGAGTAAAACCAAGAAAAGTTGTAGATCAAGATAAAAATTGTTTAGTAAGCAAAAGAGACATGGAAGAAGAGAGAATTACAACAAAATAAGTGATACAAAGGCAATAATTTACCATCTCCCCGACACAGACCAGTTCCCATGCCCACCCAGTTCCCAAGCTAGAGATGGCTAATCTCCCTAAGCCCTCTCCTCTTCCTTTTCATTGCTGAACATGATGCTACATGGTATGGACTATCCCTCCAGTCAGTTTGAGTCATTTGCCCAGTTGTGTCCCCTCCCAATCTCTTGTGCACTCCCAATCTATTCACTGGGAGGCAGAGTGAGGAACAGAGAAGGCTCCAACACTGTGCAAATATTGCTCAGCAACAGCTAAAACATTATTGTGTTAACAGCATGGTACAAATTTAAAACACAGCATCATACCTAATATGAAGAAAATTGACTCCATCCCAGTCAGACACAGTTTCCCCTCATAAAACGGGGATTCCTCCTAAGCTATGAACACATAAAGGTGTGGGGACACCCTAAGGTCTGGGAAATCCTTCCCCATATATTGTTGAGATCACAGAAATAAAACCAGAATTAATAAAAATAAAATTAAAAAAAAAACAAACCACCAAACAGACAACACAGTCTACTCCATTTACTTCTTTTATGACTCCAATGACAGCAACAAGAGGCACATTAATTTTTACTCGAAGAACTGAAATGAAAGATTATACGGTTCAGTCAGAAACTAAAGGCTCCAAGCCCTACTGCTGCCAGTGGTCAAAATTTCTATTTACTTCACACATTGCCAACTCTTACGTTATTGTGATGGTCAGTGTCCCACTGAACTGCTTCATTCAGACTGCAGTCAGAAGCAGGGCAGCTTTAGAGGAATTACGAGGCTAAGTTTTGATTCTTCTTGCTTCAGAACATAAGCTTGAAAACACAGACAGAGACTGCCCAGAAGACCCACTTGTCATTATCGAAAAATGTTGTGTTCCTTACACCAGCTATCAGTCTCAAGAGGCCAGCTTGTGCTTTCTGAATATCTGAAGCTGGCAATACTAAAAACTTTATAAATCTGAGAGTGAGCACAAGCAGTCAGTTTTTGTCTGCATTTGTTTTACACATTTTTAAATAAGAAACTGTGTGACACTTTAATTTACAGAGAAAAAGCAGAAGGTCTACACAGTCATGCTTTTAATTATTGTTGATACTGCAAGTTAAAGTTTAAGGATTCACCCCTATGGCATTACTCACTGGTAGAATTATGTTTTTATTCTCGAGGTACAGTAGATTTCCATAACGCAAGCAACAAATGAAGTACAGCAACCTAAGAAGCTCTGTATCTGAATTAAAATAGTGGTTACAAATGAGAACCCCCATATTTTCAGGAAATATAAGTTCTAAAGATGGTACTTTCCTCAGTCCTACTAAGCAGAAGAATTACTCCTTCTTCCTCCTTAACCTAAAAGGCAGACATTAGAAACTGGCAATAAGTAGAGAGAAAAAAAACCCAACAATGCATCTAAACTGTGGTTGAGTGACAACCAAATACATTTCATCAGCATTCAAATAATTCATGTTTTTTCAACGGGAAACCACATTAGCTCTTGCTCAACAATAGCATGCTGACTCAGAGCATGGTGCCACCAAGAAGGAACCATCACATCACCCTGCCTGCTACATCAGAGGGACCCCTCCAGCCACGTGCCCACCACTGGCACCACTTGTCCAGGCAGTCCTGCAGTCACTTACCAAAA